CCACCGCCATTTGGTGGTCGTGCCCCACGGCGGACGGGAGGGGGAAACGGGACTGGTGGGGGAGGCTTGCCATACTCATGACCCCATGTTCATCTTTCTCGCACGCATCTATTGTGCTTTGTCGATCTCCGCTTTCGTGTTCTTTCTTTGTTCTCTAGCCTACATGCACACAACCCACTTTATTTTCTGAGCCAAACGCTATAGGTGGAGTAGATCACTTAACCTTCTATGTTTGGTTGGACTGTTCACTGCACACATCTCAATATGGACGTAATACGTGGTTTTGAGTGCTTGAATTCAACCTCGACACACCCGACCTTCGAAATTACTATTTCAATCAATCATTGTGGGGAGGAGGGCCTTACCTCAACCGACCTTTCGAAAGTTCTTGTGGCGAATTGAAGTCCACATGCAATATAAGTGTACATGGTACATAATTCAAACCGTTATTATACAAATATGGCATCAGTAAATAGGAAGTCCTAGTGTAACATATCAACGAGCACAAAATCTACAAGCAAATCTGAGTATAGGTATCGAGAGGAGAATAACTACTTCTACTAGACTTGCTTAATCATTTGAGCCAACTGTTTTGCGACATCTGGAGATAAATTGCAACGCTGCATGAGACGAGAGACGATATCCTTCTTCTTCACATCCAAAGGCTCTGGAAGAAACCCCTTCAGCTTACGCATGAATGACACGAACCGGCTGTTCCCTCCCGCCCATAATGACTTCTGGTCATCAACAGTAAACTTCTCCACAAGGGTGCGGACCGTGACGCGTGATTCTTCATAACGGTCTTTGTGTCGACCATCCAATCTGTTAGCGGCAGTGATGCATGCGTGATCAGCGACCCGGATCCCATATGTTTTTTCGAAGGTACTTTGCTGTCTATCCCACCAGTCCTCCATCCTCGCCTCTCTTTCAAGGTGCGTGATCACAAGGACAATGGGAACCTTCTTCTCGCAAAGGAATTCATGAAATAACCGGTAATTGCTCTGTATTGTAGTGTTGAGTCTGCCGGCACGAATGCAGAACAAAAGAAGATCAACGCCGCCTTCTGCGTCCAATTTCTTAATTAGTTTATAGGCGTTGTCGACCGACTCGAGGTACTCTTTGATCCCTAGCTGCGTTTCCTCGAGTCCAACGGTATCGAACACCTTATAAGGCTCGCCATGAAAGTCGATGGTATACTCTTGCCAGTGCATCGTACAGCGTTGTGTGTCAGGAGATGTGATTGCCACCTCCTTTCCCGCCATGAGGTTGACGAGCGAACTTTTGCCTGCCCCCGTCTCCCCGAAAATTACGATATTTTTTGCCTTGTTCCTACGTAACATGATTAGCAAAACCAGCACAGAGCATCAAACACCGTACCTTGCACGACACTCTTCAATAAGTTTACAGATGGCATAGTGTGATTGTTCGTGGCGTAGCTTGAGCCTCTCTGTTGCATATTCGTCGATGTCCAGTGCAGTAACACATGCGTGGCCAGCAAAGGTCATGTTGAGCTGTGAGATGGATTGCTCGTTATTTCTCCACCATTCCTCCATCTCTGGTTTTTTGTCTTCCAACCCTGTAATGACAAGGACGATTGGGCATCTTGTCGATACTTCGGAGGAGCATAATTTGTAGTTGCGGCAGAGCGCCTTGACCGCTTTCGTATAATGCACACAGTACATGAGGAGATGAATGTCCTCTTGCTCCTTGAGTTTTCGAAGGAGATGCTTCAAAACTTTCCGAGCTTCGTCATCGGGGACTCTGCCTTCGGAGCCCTCATTCAGACCTGCAATCTAATTAAATGACGCTCACAAAGAGCGTGGTCCGCACTGACCGGGTGTATCGAAAAGCTTTACCTTCAAGGTTTGGTTCTTAACCAGAACCTCGTGCTCGTACATTGTGGTTTCGGCTGTACATCCCATAGTGTCGCAGGATGTCGGCGCCCTGTTGCTCTTAGTTATCAAATTAACTAAAGAACTTTTTCCAGCTCCTGCTTCTCCAAAAATTACAACACTGCAAGTGTCTGTGCAATATGAAGCTTCTTCAGCATAGTTGGAGTCGGCAGCGCCCTGATGTGGCGTATCGAGGCTTCAAGTTAGTAACTTAATACTGAGGAAGAGGTAGACACAACTTACAGTAGATGACCACATCATTGCCAACTTGAAGACAACTAGATGCAAGAGACAAAACAGCGAAGTCACCTCTTGACTTGTGTGTTAATTAGGGTCGCCAGCCTACTTTTCTTCGTGTTAGAACAACGTGGTTGGGTCCAGGCTTGCCCAGACGCCAGATTTAACGATACACATGAATGGATTCAGCACGTTCCATGCATATTTGTAGTATCGGTGTCTTCATTCCTTCCACAAGCTGTTGTCAGCCGCTACCGGATCTAATTTTAAGCTTGAAATATCGAACCCGAGGCATGAATTCAGCATGTTGCACACATGTGTATGTATAAGATGTTCCATTCCTGTGTCTCCGATGAGGTTGTCGGAGTAGATAAATTGAGATGTGTGTGCCTGTATTCTCTTCTGATAATATGAATATCAGAGCATTCAACCAGGCGGCCTCGGATCTTCAAAGTTTCACATCGTGTACTGGCATAAGGACATATCGGTTCCCGAGTCTGTAAGTGTCAAGCATCGACATGAACAGTGCCTACTGCAATGACTATTGAAAAGGGCTCAACTAGTAGACGCGTCTTGCTTGATCATATAAGCCAACTTTCTTGCGACTTGTCGAGACGTATCACAACGGTTCATGAGGCGAGACATGATGCTCACCCCCTTCACACGCAGATTCCCACCAGGCAGCCCCTTCAGTTTACGCATCAACGACACAAACAGATTGTCCCCTCCTATCCATGCTGGTTTCTGCTCGTTGGCAGTAAACTTCTCCACAAGATGGCGGATCGTAACTTCATCATCACAGGTTTCGTATGGGCCATCCGATCCATCAGTGGCGAAGATGCACGCGTGATCAGCGACCCTGGACTCCATAACGTTCGAACTTACTCTGTACTCTCTCCCACCAGCCCTCCATCTCTCTTTCGAGGTGCGCGATCACAAGAACGATAGGAACGTTCCCCTCGCAGAGGTAATCATGGAACAGCTTATAATTGCTGTAAAGCGTAGCATTTATTCGGCAGGGGCGAATGCAGAACAAAAGCAGATCAATGCCGCCTTGTCGGTCCAATTCCTTGATGAGTCTATAGGCGCCGTCTACAGACTCGAGGTACTCTCTGATCCCTAGCTGTGGTTCCTCAAGTCCAATGGTATCGAACACCTTGTAAGTCTTGTCTCCAAAGTCGATGATGTAGTCTTTCCAGTGCATCGTACAACGTTGCGGGTCAGGAGATGCGACTGACACCTCCTTCCCCGCCATAAGTTTGACGAGTGAACTTTTATCTGCCCCCGTCTCCCCAAATAGTACAATGTTCTTAGGCTTGTTCCTTTCGGGATCGATTCTTTGGAGCGCGGTGCTTTTTATTTTTTTGAGCAACTTCCTTTCGGGCACATCCCTCTTAGGCCCACTCCCTTTGCGCTCGTTTCTCCTGGGTCCGCTCCTACTTAACAAATAAAAATACAGCAAAATGAGCATATGGAAACACCACACCTTGTACGACATTCCGCAATAAGTTTGCAGACGTTGAAGTATGACTGGTCGTGGCGCCCCTGGAGCATCGCATCATTGGTCAGCGTGGTGATACATGCGTGGCCAGCAAAAGTCATGTCGTGCTCTGAGATGAACTGCTCGTTGTTCTTCCACCATTCTTCCATTTCTGGTTCTATGGTTTCCAAACGTGCGACAACGAGGACAATTGGAACTCTTTTCTTGACTTCGAATGTACATAGTTTGTAGTTGCGGCAGAGTGCCTTGATCGCTTCCCTGCCTTGTTTCTTGCCATCAACACAGTACATGAGGAGATGGATTCCGTCCTGCTCCATAAGCCTTTGAAGGAGGTCCTTCAAAAGTTTCCGAGCTTTCTTGTCAGGGACTTTGCCCTCAGAGCCCTCACCAAGACCTGCAATTTAGTTCAGCAATGCCTACGAAGAGTGGCGCCCTGCACTCACCAGCTGTATCAAAGATATTTACCTTCAAGGTCTTGCCGTGAATCACAAGATCGTATAGGTACTCCTGAGTTTCAGCTGTACATCCTTCAGCGTCGCAGGATGCCGGTGCTGTTTCTGGCCCAACGATTAAATTGACCAGGGAGCTTTTGCCAGCTCCTGTTTCTCCAAAGATGACGATATTGTATGTGTCTGTTGAAGCTTCATTGACATAGCTGGAGTCAACAGCACCCTGGTTGGGGGTGTGAAGACTTGACTTGATGCTGAACTAGATTCAGACACGACTTACAATAGATGATCCTGACCACATCACTGAAAACTTGACCATGAATCGATTCGAGAAAAGAAAACCAGCGAAAGCGCCACCACCAATTTGTTATAAGTCGAGGGCTGAAGGTATCCAGGCGCCAGATTCGATGAGGACTGGTCGGGCACATGGTTTCAGCATGTTCCATCGTGCATGTCTGATGAGTCTTCAGTGTTGTAAGCTTTGCCGATTTGAAACGAGCCTGATGCCGCTGCTCGGCTCCTGAGCGGACCGCTCGGGCCTACATCATGGCACAGCATTCCGGCTCTAGGCCTCAGCTCAAGTAGATCACAAAGTTTTGCTCAACTCTTCTTAAGCTTCATCGACCTCATCTCATCTTAGTACATCATGTACTTGGAGTTTTTTACTGTCGCACTCGTCTCGAGTCGCTTGTGCCCGTCCCTAGAGATAGCGATAGGCAACACAGGACAAATTTCCATCTATCCCATCTTCATCTCGACACACCTGCAGCGTGTCTCATTCCAAAAGTTCTTTAGCGATCTATTTTTTTAACTTCGGTGAACCCGAACTTTTCAGCTGAGGATCTGGGCTTGTTCAATACAACTTTTTTCTGGCAGACACTCTTGAGCTCAAGTGCTGTCGCGCTCCTCCTATCTCGTGTTCTCGATGCATGACTTGCAAGTCGAATGCAGAATTGATTAAAGTTACATAATTGAACATGACATTAATGCGCAAAACGGAAATCAAGTCTTCTGTTCCCAACATCCTTGGTCGTGCTCAGATAGTGTGCACGTTCCTATCATTTAAAAAGTCTTTAGCGTCAGAGCCCTAACTCTTTATAAAGTCCACAATGAACTCACCTGCATCGTCATCGCATCCCAAATCTTAGCTCGTTGTCGGTTCCGCCACATGTAATATGCCTTTGTACCTGGGTACACAAAACAGACGTTGATGCAGCAGATAATGATAAGGGTCCTGTTGCCGCGTCGATCTACGCAAGGGGGTGAGTGTTATGATTATGTTGCCTAGGAAAGGAGATGAGGAGTAACACACATCTGGGAGCATCGCTGGTGACGTAGATCTGTGCAGATATGATTCCACTGGCTTGCACGAACCTGGCGGAAAGTGAGTATGTTTCCAGTGTGAAAATGGGGAATTCCACACATGTTGTATAACGACGCGTTGACTGTTCGACTTGCCACTGCCCCAGCGTTACGAGAGCACCACCCCACCTGAGACAAGAGATAAGTATTTCACTCGAGGATCGTTTTAAGCAGTTACCTGGATTGGATGGGTATATCTGATAACACGAGGACGTCAAGAACGGTCTTCAAGAATACTAATGCTGACAAGTTCGAACTCACGGATATGACAACAGGCCAGTTACCACAACCTGAACAGTTGAGTAAACCGCGTATGCGCCAATCTAAACGCGTTGCTCACAAAAAATACCCAAGGATTAGGGCTGCTAGACATTGCATAGAGTGCAATGAGGAAAGGTAACGTCCAGAGGTCCTCCATCATCGCCACAATAGAACGCTCGTTGACGGACTCTGAGACAAGCGTAATCAAAAACATGGTGACCATTCCGAGAACTTGAGAGGGTATCGTAAGGAGGTTGGTATCAAATGTATTGAATCTGGGTTCCTGGCCTTGAGTGTGTCAAAACGAAGGGATAATCATGATACCTACCCGATGTCCCTAAGTAGTAAAGTGAGATATGTTGAGGGGGGACCGTTCGGGATGCCAAACAAAAGACCGCTACATTTCATGAGTGCCTAACTCTTCCAAAGATTAGGGGAATGGCGTACAGGATGTAAATCGGCCAAAGGTCATAATCACATACTGCTGTCCACAGACGACGAATTGAAAGGCCCTCACGGTTGTGCATATCACCCTGAGGGAGTGAGTTAGTCACAGCGTCTAACGAGACTGGGACATAATTATTTACCTTAGTAGGATCATCCCGAAGTACTCGGTTGACCATAATGATTTCTTCTCTTTCCGTGAACCAACCGTTTGGCCGGAACCATGTTTTGGTCTGCGTTGGCGACGGAGGCATGCGGAAAAAAGAGAAAAATCCTATGAGGAGAGTGAGGAGTCCCCTGTGGGAGGGTCAAGTTCGCACATCTTATATCATTGGAAAGAAATGGACACACTCAATCATGAACAGCCACCTTGGATCAAGTCAGGTTTGTTTTGCGAAATGAACATCGAACTTCTACTAACCGCCATCCAGCAGCGCCAGCCACACCATCCATGTGAAGCGTGCCATATGCTATAAAACTAGCAGCGATGCCACAGAGGTTCGAAGACATCCAGAACAGTGCGAGGCGCATGGGTAGTTCCGTCTTCGTGTAAAAATCTGTCCGAAAAGTCGGCAATGTAAGATGAGGTGCAAGGTAACTGACATACAAGATAGATATAATATCAGGTCAGGGATAAACCTGGGGAATATAAACAAAGTGTACTCGAGCGCGCGCAGGAGCTGGACTCACCCGCCTTGCAAAGCGCTGAATTGACTAGTCAGTAAAACGAAGCTTTGGGACAGTAATTACATGATATTACCCAAGAAGTGCTCGGCAGACCAGGAACGAAGTTCTACCGGTCAGCCAGAATTGTGACAGAGACACGACACCTGTGAGCTATCGATGAGAACGGTTTTGATACAGTTGGTATATTACATACTCCAGAGGCAGATTTGCATTGGTATCCAGCGATCCGGGCCAATCTTCGATACGACCATAAGTCACACGGAACCATTTACAGTAAATGCACGTACTCGCTTCGAGACAAGCTGTGACGGTAGTTCTGCGCATAAAAATGCCAGCTTGAACACGGTATTTCCGAGATTGAAGTCTGGATGATCAAGTCAGGATATTATTCAGATGGTAATCAAACACGCTTACCATCTGTAGTCAACCCAAGATCCTGCAAAAAAGAGTCCGAGTTTGCCTGGCTGATGTTGCTCCTGTCCAAGTTTAAGGCAGAAAATCCTATAGCTGCCGTGACCATAATCTTCCAATCCAACTTGCGGACTAGGGCCTTCCCCACGTTTAACACGAGTCGAATCACGATAAGTATAAAAACTTACCCTTTCCTCCCTGTATGTCCAACGAGCGGTTGGATCGAATCTGTGGATATTCTCGTAGTCCTTCTTGGGCCAATAGTATGGTGCAAGGTCAGGATCATCATAAACAGAGCGTTTGGTCGCGATTGTATCAGGATCGTGGTGAGCAATCTTCTTTCGACGAAACACGGTGTTTGTCCACGAGAACTGTTCCTCCACCTCCTCCACTAGGTCGTCGGTGGGCAACGAAGAACTTCTTTTGCCAATAGAAGATAGTGAAGAGACACGACTAAAGCCGGCCGTCGTCGGGGTTTGCTGCTCTGTGGTAGCGCTCACAGAGGTCGTCATCTCGGTGAGAGAAAGGAATGAGTGTAAAGGAAGAAGAATCCCCCTATAAAAGCACTCAGGACAGGCACGGCTGAGCCACCAACTATCCTCACTCGAGCGATATCTGTGATATCACATTCCTGATCAATGGCGCAAGATCCTGTTCTAACAATAGGCAGAACTATGCGATTGACCTGCAAATTTTGTCGTCCGTCACGAGGGTTGGACGGAAATGTAGCGCGACTTTAACGACTGGATACTGGAGCGTTCACCTAAGTCAGTACTCGCAGAAACAGCATGTTCATCCCACTGTACTCGATAAGCTGTATGATCGACTTGTGATGTCCAGTAAGTATATAATTGTTTAACTTGTTTTACCCACCTCTGTCATTTTGTAAACCGCACCATATGCATAATGGCATCTTTAGTCACATCCCTGTCGGTGTGCAGCCACTTTGGGACGTCAGGCCTTCATGGACATAGTTGATGCATTGTGGGTAGCTAACGGCCCCTAACGCTGAGTGATATCACGTATGAATTGTGATATCTGACGTGACCGTCTATTTTGAACCCAATCCAGACAATGTCACAATCGGTCTCTAAATGTAGATGTTAATGTCTAGGTAATATGGCGAGATAAGAGAAAACGGCTTACCCTCAGCTCATGTAACGGACTGAGGAAAGTATACTACGAGTCTAGTCAACCATATATATGGTTCGTATTCCTGTCGACTTCAACTCCGACACATTGTCGTGCCGCGTCGCTCACGTGTACTTATATTTCCCATGCATCAACAATCTAGCGGCGATTGCGACCCGGTCACCATAAGGGCACACTTTCAATGATATTATTATATTAGTTATAAGTCAAGTTAGTACTTATTTAACTCAACTCGAGGACAATGGGTGCTCTTCTTATCGCCTTCGTTATCTTCTTCAGTCATAGTAACCCAGACGGAACAGTTCCACGCTGATTGTCTTACATATTCCATCAGCACATCCGCTGTAGGAAGATTTGTCTGCGCTTCAAGATACAGTCGTGAATTAATGAAGCCCATGTTCACAATTGTTCACCGCGGGTACAAGCACACGATGGATCGTGCGGTGATATAGTCCATCATGGCTGCGATGTGGAATTGTAGGGTGCGCGCAATTGCAGAGCTCCAATGGGTGAATACGAACATCAAGTAGGTGTGAACAGCCGAGGACTCGCAGAGAAAAGAAGAGAAACTGACTCGACAAATTTGAGGCTCGTCAGACTATAAATTGTTACACGTTGGGTGATATATTGTCTGTCTGATCACCCAACCTATCCTGCACATGGAAGGAATCCTTAGGTCCAGAACTCGGCGCGGCCAACACCTCTAATGATTGGTTAGCTATGTTTCACTTGGATCGCAGGACAAGTCACCTTTTTTATGATATCATTGATGCATGGGCTGCCTTTTTCTATGCAATCGACAACTGCATGCTTGTTTGTTCAAACACGTTTCCGCTCATGTCCGTGTCGTTGCTTGTAATACCAGCCTTGAGCGAGCCCACGGATCAAGGCGTTGGGCGGACTGTAAACCTTCGAATGCTCTTTCAAAAAAGTGTACCCATAGTCATGCATAGGAAGCGGACTCTTGGGCAGCGCTTTATACGTATTCCGAAACTGTGCAGGCACAAATCTGGCTACAGCTGGTCCACCAAGTGCAGAGCTTCAAGATTGTTGGGATGGTTTAATTTCGACCCGTCATCGCAAAAGGGCACTGTGACTATGTACGCTGCGCGTACAGCATACAACACACCACGTAGTTTTCCTCAGTATTCTGCAGGTCCTCGACGTTAGATTCATTTTCTTGGTCTGTCAGCTAGATTATTCGCGGGTTCATAGCCCTGGATGAGACCCCGCCTGGTTGCTAATGCTTCCGCTGTCTTGTGGTATAGGTCTTCTGGAATCCGGACAGGCAAAAACTTTCCACGCCGACGAAGAATAAGAGGATAACACGACGAAAAAGACGGCGAGCTCGATTCATGCTGACAAACCTCTATATGGCAACAACGGCAGGAATAGCAGGCACGGATGACGACGGCAGGAATGGCAGGCTACGCTTTGAGCTGAACATGCTGAACTGCATGCAGTACGAAGGATTTCTTGTAGCAATTGAGCATGCACTGTAGTCAAATCTGAGTCAATGGTGTGGTTCGATGTTTGCTTGCACAAGTATAAGCTTACAAATCCGTCAATACATCTGAGTCCGTGCGAGGGCGTCCGACCGATTTTTATTGGGACTCAGTAACTAATAACCATCCACTCCCGAGAAGTTGAACTGACCATGGTCAAGGCTTTGATCCTCATTGCAGATGGAACAGAAGAAATGGAGTTGTAAGTTACATGATGTACATCATCCCCTAAATCAAACCAGCGCTAATGATCGCTCGGGTGCACACTGTCGGACATGTAGTACTATTGCATACGATACACTCATCCGTGCAGGAATAGAATGCACATCTGCATTTATCCCCAGGGGTCTCTCACCATACGGATCTTCTGATACAAGTCCTCCGCTTGCAGTTTGCTCGAGGCAAGTGAAGATCCTTCCTGATATCACCCTCGATCCCCTCAGTGCCGGTCCGGTGGGCATTTTTCATCTGTTTTTAAGCGTGTCCAAGCTCAAGCTTGTGATATCTTACTTCTTCAGGAGAAGTATGATGCCCTCATCATCCCCGGTGGCATGGGGGGTGCCGTCACGATGGCAGAATCGACAGAGGTGCAAAACCTTGTTCGCTCTTACTACAACCACCCAGAAAAGCGGACTATTGGCATGATATGCGCAGGTATGATCTCATTTGATCATATTCGTGATTTGTGAAGCGTATGTGCGTTTTGCAAGGTTCCAAGGTCGCAATTACAGCAAAACTTCCTGGTCAACCGATCACGTCGCACCCATCTGTCCAGAGCGAGTTTCCAGAACGTGAGTCGTAACGAAATTGACGAGAAATATCGGTATATCTTCTCTGTTGCGCTAGATTTTGAATATAAGGAACAAAATGTGGTTGTGTCTGCCGTTCCAGGCAAGGCAACACTTGTCACAAGGTGAGTCAATATCGTGATTTGTTTGCCGGGAGCCCTGCTGACCTCGACTCGGACTCGGATCTCTAGCCGCGGACCAGGTGAGTTGCACTCTGCTTGTGTTCGCTGTCTCTTTACGGTTGCTGAATAGGAACCGCGTTTCCTTTCGTATTCACGTTGATTGAGCTCTTGTGCGGGAAGGATAAACGTGACGAAGTTGTGGGACCTATGATCTTCCCTTCTGGCACAACTGGGTACCCGTTCTAAGTGGGCTCCGTGAGGAATCTGACGAGTCATTAAACGCAGTAGCGTAACTTTTTATTTTGAACAAGTACCTTTATGAAGTCATCCTATGAGCTGACATATACTGAGGATTGGGTCCTAATTCGACTACCATTAGCGCTTGTTCAGTTTCTGAGTTGTCGAAGACTTTGAAGTTTGTAGTACCGACGCGTAGGCTAATAAGTTACGTAGTCGCTTGAGAGTGTTCACTGTTGAAGAGGCGATTAAGGCGTATTTCTTACTTCCCATCCTCCGTAATTTTTTTTTGCTTGTCGCATGCGAGCTCTCTTGCACGCTGTGCAGCGAATTCATGGACTTTCCTGTAGAATAAAAGTTGTCCGGGGTGACTTGCATCTGACTCGGATAACGTATGGGTTCAATCTTATCGAGTCATACCGAAACCGGGCTTTGGTCAAAAGGCCTTTAACCACCATTTCTCGATATACCACATCTACAACCATGAGTTCTCTAGAATCTGTAACTCAGTCCCTTGCTGGGCTATCAATCGCCCCATCCGCCAGCATCACGCATGCTGAAACAAATTCCCCAGCGTCTTGGCGAGAAACCCTACTTGCGACCTCATCTGCGCCCAAATCATTCGAGCTGATCAAAACGCTCGTCTACAAGCCAAAGACTGCAAAAACTGCGATTCCAGTCCCTGTTGTCGTCATTGCCCGTGAAGAGACCGAGACGAGCTCATCGGCGCTCGGTAAGAAGCTTAACCTGAAGGAGCTGAGGTTGGCATCAGAGGATTTACTTGCTGAATTTTTCGCGCTCGATAAGAACTCTTGTGCGTTATTTCTTATGACGCGGTGTAACTAATCTGATTTACATGGATGATCAGTGTCGCTACTTTCATTGACTAGTGAGACGTTCCCAAAAGTTGTCACTGTGATCGACGCATCGATCACGTCCTCCTCATCAACATTCGCGTTACACGCACTATCCTCGAGCGCAACCGTCTTCCTTTCTGGACAGGATATCCTGTCTTACCTCCGAAAGCTTGAGACTGAGGACTTGAAAGTCCAAGAAATAGACTTCACTTCTCTCAAGTCTGACGCTGCCGCGGCCCCTTCAAAACCTGTTGCAAAAGAGAAAGAGGTCGCGAAAATCGATGGCGCCGTTCAGATAGCCATCGGTGTCAAGAAGGAAGTTGATTTCTCTGCGTGGTATCAGAGTGTAGGTTCCCTTATTCGATTGCCCAGATCTAGGACTTACTTGTGTGATTTAGGTCTTAATAAAAGCAGAAATGCTCGAGTACTACAGTGTTAGTGGGTGCTATATCTTGAGGCCGTGGTCGTACAGTATCTGGGAAGAGATCCAAGGTATGAAATCTAGTTCTCGACTGGTCCTCAATACTAAGGCGTGTTATAGAATGGTTCAACAAGAAAATCAAGGCAATGGGCGTTCAGAATGTATACTTCCCTATGCTTGTCTCACAAAAGGTGCTCGAACGCGAGAAGGATCACATCGAGGGTTTCTCTCCGGAAGTCGCATGGGTTACGAGAGCGTAAGTGCATTAAGAAACGAATGGACTCCAATATTGATAACGTGACAGTGGGAGCTCTGACCTTGAGGAGCCGGTAGCCATTCGCCCGACATCTGAGACTGTTATGTATCCTTGTAGGGCAATTTATATTGTCATAGAGAAGTCAACTCACTCATTGCTCGCAGACTATGCCAAGTGGATCAAGAGTCATCGAGATTTGCCACTGAAACTGAACCAATGGAACAACGTCGTCCGATGGGAGTTCAAACATCCGCGTTAGTCCTTGTACTCGAACACTGTCCTTGATCGAACGTTTATTATCTTATTCAGAACCGTTCCTCCGTACTCGCGAGTTCCTGTGGCAAGAGGGCCATACTGCTCACCTTACCAAAGCTGAGGCTGATAAGGAAGTCCGGGAGATCCTCGACTTGTACCGCCGCGTGTATGAGGAACTCCTGGCTGTCCCTGTCATTCCTGGCATAAAGTCCGAGAAGGAGAAGTTCGCCGGTGCCCTCTATACCACCACGATTGAAGGCTTTGTCCCTTCCTCGGGCCGTGGCATTCAGGCTGCTACCTCACATTGCTTGGGCCAAAACTTTTCGCGCCCGGAAATGTTCAACATCGTAGTCGAGGACCCGAATGATCCTTCTGGCCAAGGCAAGACCTTTGCATGGCAAAACTCGTGGGGATTGTCGACCCGGACAATCGGTGTGATGACCATGGTGCACGGTGACAACCAAGGCCTAGTTCTTCCTCCGCGAGTTGCATCTATTCAGGCTGTCGTAGTCCCGTGTGGTATCACAGCAAAGACGAGCGATGAAGACAGAGCTAAAATCAACAATGCCTGCGATGACCTCGCGAAATCTCTGATAGATGGGGGTATTCGGGCGAGGGCAGATCTTAGGGAGGGTTATACCCCTGGATATAAATTCAATGACTGGGAACAAAAGGCACGTTCTTTACCATTGGCTTCGATCACTCGCCTCTGACATGTGGTCCGTTCCATGAATAGGGTGTTCCCCTTCGTCTGGAGATAGGGCCGAACGATCTCGTCAAGCAGCAGACACTGTCCGTGCGCCGCGATACCGGTGCAAAGACCCCTGTTGCTCTCGCTGACCTTGCCGCCACAATCCCGAGGATGCTCGAGACTATCCAGAACGAGATGTTCCAGCGTGCTCTCGCTGAGTACAATGCGCATTTAAAAGAAGTTACACGATGGGAAGACTTTGTCCCCACATTGGATAGCAAGTGCATAGCTGTCATTCCGTGGTGCGAGCGTGAAGCATGTGAAGATGACATCAAGGAGCGAAGCGGTAGAGCGTGAGTGTCTTTTGCGGTCTCTCATCCAAATAACTATGTCTTGGGAACCTCGGAGATTTAAACGGCATCTAACATTATATTTTTGAACAGTGCGGAGCCGCAGGACGAGCGCGCCCCGTCTGCAGGAGCCAAATCCCTTGCTATTCCGTTCGAACAAAAACGTTGGTCTCCCATCAAAGTGGGAGAAACGAAATGCGTTGGCTGTGGACAGGATGCAAAGCGTTGGACCATGTTTGGGAGATCCTATTAGAAAGCCTTACATAGGGCTATATCGTTAGTGTACGTGAGAATGGAATTGCACAAAGAGGTTGCTCTGTTCTTTGATTTCTTACAAACACTTTGTATACACGGCTTCTGAACCATATGCAGTCGGCGGGCCGGCGGTTAGACGTGGCAAAATTTGACTTGCTGACTAGCGCTGTCAGACTATTATGCAACTAACTGGATCCAGGATATACCATGCTGGAATCGGGATGAGATGACCGATTTCCGACTCGCTCTTTGAAGCTATGTGACCTTGGCCGCCTTGCCCTCGTGATGCGCCGTGCGGCGCTGGAGGGCCATTGCAACAACCAAGGTGACGAACCACTAGCTTAATGATTACCTGAGATATGAAGTTCCTCAGGCTGTGCTATCTCTTTCCGCTCTCACTCCGCCTTTGGTAGAGCTTCCAGGCCCAATTGATAAGGGCAAGAAAGAAATGAAGGTCTCGTAACGTTTGACGGTATCTGTGAGTCATAATGATCCAGCATATGCGGCGAAGAAGTAACAATGACCGCGATAGCTGGCACGCACTAACGGACTCTGCATGCAGGCAGTTCTATAAGCAAGCCTTTTCAACGTGCTTACAATCTACACATAGAACTTCAAGACAGCCGATATCATCAGTCCGAGTCAGGCTTCAGGGCCTCATCCTGTACAATCCCATGCCCAAATTTTAGAATATGAAATTCTTATTTTACATGGGAAACCAGCAAGTTTGCACCGGCCAACTGGGATAATTTTTCAACCACAACTTGAAAACCTGAGTTCCGAAGTGACACCGTGATGCGGCCAGCGCGTCGCCTGTCTCAACCGTATGGAGGCCAAATTTGTTGCGTTCGCTTACATTCCATATGTCTGGAGTCACTAGGGTACTAAATTTCATTTCATCAATTCATCAAAATTCGCTAGCTGTTCCAAACACCTGGCAGCTGCCCCGCATTCTCCGCATCTCATTGCATATTGCATATGCGGATTCGATTCGGCCCAGATTCAAACTTATGAACAGGCATGGAATCCGTCATGCCATATGGACCTGGTGTTTCGTTGTTCACTTAACCAAATCGGTACGTACTATCGAGCGCTAGTTGTTAGGTTCGCGCCTGATGCCGAGTTGCCCACTGATGGTGTCAGCATTGTACCGATTAATATTACGGTCGCATGACCCACGTTCCAATTTTGTTGTCCAAATTGAGCCCCACAAGTTCCATGCGGTCGGTGCCTGACACTGAATAAAATGCAACGTCCCGACGACATCATGATGTTGTTCCCCGTCTTCATTTGTCCCCACTTCCTCCCGTCAAAATGGGCAAAGGTGTAAGTTGCACTTTGTTTTGATCCTTTGGCTATCGTGTTTAATGCGTTCAACAGTACAGCGCAAGGATCGCCTCGAATCCAGTGAGTGATCATAAGCTCCTATAAGTGTTCATACTTGGACGTGATTCTGATATTCATATGATAGTACATCGTCGGTACATTCGCATGTATCGGTGGAGGCCTCTTCGGTTTGGACATATCTTCCATGTCCGCAGTGTTGAACGTGAGCCCATGATCATCCACGCCTAATGTAATTTCGACGATGCTGATGTATATACCCTGTCCAGAACCCCGCATACGCGAACACTTTCCACAACGTGCGTTTAATTTCTCGTTAGCCTTTTGTGTGTGATTCACAAGATTTTTGTGCAGCCCACTTCCAATGCACAGGGTGCCATCGTCGCTTCTATGCCCGCTGGGTCCTTGATTGGCGCTCTTTCTGTTACCTACCTTGGTGATAAGCTTGGACGCAAAAAGACGATCATCCTTGCTGGTCTTTTCTGGGTCATTGGTTCTATTATTCAGTGCGCGTCGATTGTGAGTGTATTATCCTGTCATGTCATTGTTTCTTTGTTGAGATGCTGCTCTAGAACCGTGGCATGCTTGTCGTTGGTCGTATTATTTCTGGTCTCTCCGTCGGTATCTCTTCCACCGTTGTCCCTGTCTATCAATCCGAGATTGCTGCACCCGCAATCCGTGGTCGCCTGGTTTCCTTCCAACAATGGTCTATCACCTGGGGTATCTTGCTTCAGTACTTTGTTCAGTTCGGTTGTTCGTACATAAACGGTACTGCCTCATTCCGTATCCCATGGGGTCTCCAGATGATCCCCGCTATCGTCCTTTCTCTCGGTATGCTAGCGTTCCCCGAGTCCCCCCGTTGGCTCGTCGATCATAACCGGTATGCGTCCCTTTTATATATATCAAACTCCTATCTCATACTTCTTAACAGCGAGGCAGAGGCTTTGGAAATTCTTGCTGACCTTCACGGTGGAGGCAATCCGCAGGATGAGCTCGTCGTCCTTGAGTTCGAGGAAATTAAGTCACAGGTTTACTTCGAACGAACTGAAGGTGCCAAGGCCTGGTCAGACCTCTTCAAGCGTAGTGTATTGCGCCGTGTCTTCCTTGGCACGTCTCTCCAGATGTGGTCTCAGCTTACTGGTGTGAATGTTATGATGTGAGTTTCTTCAGCCTTTGGCCACTCAATTCGTTTTTACACCCCAAACAGGTACTATGTCGTCTACGTCTTCGAGGGTGCTGGTCTTACTGGTCGTCGCGCGAATCTAATTGCAGACTCTGTGCAATATGTCCTGAATGTCGCCTTCACTGGTAAGATTGATTTACTTTGATCGATGGCGATGATTGTGATGCGCTTGAATTTTAGTCCCTGCAATCATTTACATCGACAAATGGGGACGTCGCCCGATGTTTATTTACGGCTGTCTCGTCATGGGCTTCTGGCTCTACCTCGTCGGTGGTCTCCAGGCCCGCTTCGGCGAAATGGGAACTGTTGACGGTACTGGTAAGTTTAACGTTTGAACCCCTCAACTCTCTGATGCTTACTTCTGTCTTCATCAGCTACATGGGTGGTACTTAACAATCCCGCTGCCACAAAAGCGATCATTGTGTGTTCCTACTTTTTCGTGTGTTCCTTCGCTATTTCGATGGGTCCTGCCTCTTGGGCCTATCCTGCCGAGATCTTCCCCATGCGTGTGCGTGCCAAGGCCGTCTCTCTCTCCACAGCCACGAACTGGTTGTTCAACTTCGCTTTGGCATGGGCGGTACCTCCGATGTTGCAAAACATCCAATGGAAGACGTATTTGGTGTTCGGGACGTTCAACTTTGCAGCCTGCATCCACTTCATCTTCTGCTTCCCTGAGACAGCACAGCGCTCTTTGGAGGAGATCGAAGATGTGTTCTCACAGGGCCACGTGTTCAGTGCATGGGCTGTATCTAGGTCCGTGGGCAAGAAGGACTTGTCGGATGTACTTGCACACAAGGTGGGCAAGGAATCGCTTGATAAGTCGGAGGGTGCATAAGGGGTTGAAGGCACGTTTTAAGCTTGCTCATTTTCTGACTTCTCCGTAAGGTCTAATAGTTTACTGTACTTGTTAAGCACTGCTGTTGGCATAAGCATTTAGTGTCACGACCAATCTACGATGATATAGCGCGTTTTGTGAACTTTAATTTGTGCTCACAGCCCACAATGATTTATCGCAAAGTCTGGCTAAGTGTATTACAGATGTAGTTCCTCCCTCTTTGTCTTGGTGTCCGTTGACCGCGTTTCAGATACGCCAAGTACTTGCAGGCCATTACTGACCGTCAATCTGACTGGGCATCAACGCCCTACCTAGATTATTCCATCAATGTAAAGCCTGGGCTGCCATCGGTTCACCGCCCAAGCTCCTATTTTCAGATATACCCCCGCATGGCAACCAGCACAGCATATGTGCGCATGTAGGTTTTGTTTCTATTTCATGATTAGGTTACTTGTGTCGCATATGGCACTACTAACCCCACGGGCCACGGCCCACGATGCGATTACTGTCACGTGCACTCAATACAGATGTGGATTGTTCGCGCGGGTTCTCAAGATCTCACACTTCAACATCTAAACACCTGAACCGTCTGAGACTCTCAGAGAGACCGTCTGGCTCGCAGCTACTAGTTGCTTTGTTCAGTCTGACATGTCGCGGTCAGACAATAGAGATGTTCTGGACTAATCTACACTCGATGTGGATAAAGGGGCGCGAGTTATGGCGATTCCAGGGATACGATTGTTGGTTGCGCTGGCAGCTGATGCCAGTAGATGGCGTTCGTCACAGTGCCAAGTGAGCTTCTTCAATATATATTACAGCACTTACAACAGATTTATGTAACCTTTCATTCGACGTCCAACCTATCAGAAAATGCGTTTACCATCTCACATACCACTTCCCTTCCTTGCCTCGCAGATTTTACTTTCTTTCGACCCATCACCTCCATGGAACTTATTTGGTGCCTTCGCCATCGCCTTGTTCTGCCTGCTCATCATAAGCCCGAGTGTGTTTGTGAGCTTGAACATTGACACTGGTGTCGGCTACGTAGACTACTTGCTAGGATCTACGATCATGACCCATGCTGTGCAAAGCTTTTATTTACTCTTACTGGGGAGACCATTGAAAAATTTCAAGTCTGTAGAGAACAAGAATGGAAAAGTGCACGAACATTGGTGGAAAAGGATCCTCCACCTTATTTGTGTCGTGCAATCACCGCGGGGAGTTGGATGGAACTATCAGGTGCGTTTTTACAATCCCTTGCGGTTGCAATTCGGACCGGCTCACCCCATCCACTGGCAGGTGAAACACATCCCTGCTGCCCCGCAACAACCCAGATATTTGTTCATCCTCACCTCCTCCCTGCGTGCTGCCTGCCACCTAGTCCTCTTTGAAGTCGCGCGGCTGTATGTTTGGTACAACCCTGCGTATTCATCGGTTACGGTTGGGACACGAAGCTATGTGGCGCGGTGTGCTGACACAATTGTATTCATTGGGCTCACATACTGGGCTTTCAATGCTTGCTACTTCGCAATGGCAGCAGGGAGTGTTGCTCTCAGATTGCACGAGCCAAGAATGTGGCCTGACTTGTTTGGGTCTTGGCGAGATGGGTATACCATTCGACGAGCTTGGGGGTGAGTGAATGTGTGCCAAATAGCTCTGTCGTTCCGATACTATTCTATGCAGGAGGACATGGCATCAGACCTTGAAATCGGTTAGCGCGTTTTATTAAATTTATGCATATTTCAGCTGGGAACATGTATTTGTGCCAGATCCTCGCCCCTCTTGGTAAAGCGGCATCATCTGGCCTTGGGTTCAAGCGCGGTACACCAGGATCATCATATGCACAAGTCTACGTTGCGTTTTTATTCTCGGGCCTCGTACATACAGGAGGGGATATCGTGCTCTCTGGATCCTCCACCTCCGCTGTCTCACGACCGTTTTTCTCAATACCATTCTTTTTCATGCAAGCAGTCGTTATTACCCTTGAGGACATGTTGATCCGGACCGGAAGACGCCTGGGAGTTGAGGACAGCTTTTGGACGAGAGCCTTGGGGTTTGTTTGGGTCGCGATATGGTTTGGGTGGTGTGTGCCTGGATTTGCCGAGGATATGATCAGGGCAGGTGGGGGGATAAGGAAGTCTGCCAGCGGAGTGGGTGAGAATGATATGGGCCCCAATCTGGTGCAAGTCGCGATGGTTGGATTGTTTGGATTTGATGTTGGGGAGTTTGCTGAATCATGGTTTGGGGCATGAACTGAGATGGATGCCAGGGTTCGTGACATAACCTTGTTTACCGCTTACGATGATCACCTGAATGTCCGTAATGGTCGTGCTGGCACTTTGAAGGGCGAATGTTGGCGTAGGGTAATTACCAACTGGGTAAAACAGTACTGACTCCGACTCACAGCATGTAGTACTTATTGTGCCTGGGCTTCATCACAAGTTGTTGGCTGAATTATACCTGCTTGTGATTCACTACATATGCAAACCTGCAACAATGTGAGTATTCGATTCTATATGTTATGCAAAGCTATTGACATAGGCTCAAGTATGTACAGGCCCAAAAAATACAACCGCGGTCTACATTCAGTATTGCGATGGCAGAACATGCCAGAAGTCAGAGTCAAGGGTATCTTGATCGATTACGAGGATCCGTTATAGCGGGCATCGATGACTGGACTCGGACACCGCCTTCGCCACCCACGTTGACCTGCCACCGGGATTTGTACCAGCAGCATCAACTGTCACGCTATCAGGCTAGTTTAACACACGCTACGGCGACCATTCGATCCTGGGGGTTAAGCGGATGTGCTGGAAGTTCATCATCTATGTAGGAGGACATGCCAATACACGCCGAGGCGGGTGAACTTTCTAACATCTCAAATTTGCAATTGTGCCAGTTTTTCATCATACTCTCCACTTCTTGCTTCCTGTCGCGAGACCCTCGTATCCGCAGGTCAGCATATCGCACTGTCTGGATCTTCTACCTCCGGTAGATCACGGTCGTTCATTTATGAGCGTTCATAATTAGAATTGCTCATCGGGCCGCAAAACAAGTGCGTCAAGGACAGCGTATGGAAAGTTTTGGGGTATGTCTAGGTCGCAGTATGGTTTGGGTAGTGTGCAACGTGTATGAAGGCACGCCGAGTGCAGGCGGAGGAGAAAATGAGGCTGTCTACGGCTTAGCGCGGACTTGGCGTAGTTAGGGTTTGATTTCCTGAATTCTTCGTACGCGGAGATGAAGGACAAGGATCATGGCATCATTGATATGCCATATGGTCGTTATCTCGTCAGAACGCAACGGAAGATGAAAGGCGGTGTCTCTACCCTCGTGGATCTGCTGCGTGTTGCGAAGCGCGGGTTTTCTTCGGTACGGCATTTTGACACGGGAGGAGCATGGTTGAGGCAGTGTCTTCCGTACTAGTCTACATGCTCACAATTGTTGAGCGGCATATCCGAATCCGTCCTCATCTAGTCCCAAAGATAATTAAAGATGCTTGTACATGTGTTTCTATTACTGGCACCTACATTCTCCGGACGTCAATAGAATCACGGGGAAGGACGAAGCATGGTTCAAGGATCAGGTGAGGGACTTCGTGTGAGACCACAAGATACAAAGCATATGCTGGACCAAGAAGTATATTCATTCAATATGAATTTATAACCAGTGCACTGCGTTTCGGTAGATATACCTTGCACCTATTTGGCAGCTAACAGCACCCCGTCGACTATTTCTGTCATCCTTATGACCGCCTCTTCTTCCAGAGTCCGACCGACAAGTTGCAAACAAACAGGGGCGTTCCTGAATCTCTCCGGATCGTCTGAATCAATGATTAGGCATCAAAACTACGTATTGAGAGGTTGTTGAGTGCTAGCACCACACTCACACATTTCGTAAACATCCTTATCGAAGTCGTTGTAGAAAGCGTGAGGAGGCGCCTTCCCATCGAGAGTAGAGTCGACAGTGGTCACAGGGAAAATGGCCGCAGCATAGTCGAGCGCATTCCAAACGGCCGTGTAGTCAACGTACCTGCCCATCACCTCTCATTGACCTGAGTGCATCATTCCGCAGTTACAAACACAAACCTGTTCTTCCCATGGGGAGTTGCCACAAACGGGGCGGCTGGACAGATGATAGCGTCGACAGGCCGTCCTGTTCCGGTCTCTGACGCAGTTGCTTTCCAGTGATCTAGATATTCTTTCCGGATTTTTTGACGCAACTTCTGCAATTGCCAGAGCTGGTATGCTGTCATACCGTCGTTCTGCGGACGGAAGGATGCTACTGTGACATTTGCGACGTCTAATCCCATTGATGTAATTAGTGGCTCCCCTGTGGCAGAGGTCGTGATCATGTATTCCTCAGCGGAACCAGCGTTCCAGATGTCACGCTGCACAGTGCTACTACGTCAATAGACAGGCATAACAAAAGGCACGACTGCTTACCGTGATTTCTCCAAGTAATTTGTGCTTGATGGGTTTCCAGTCAACAACTACCACAAATGAGCACAATATTGATTCAGCAGATGACTTGAACGAGAAAAACCTTTGTGGCCTGCATTCTGAAGAGCCGCTTTCGCAATTTCCAGAGACCTCCTGATAGGTGGGTGGGGAACAACGACGCCATCATCCCACATGATTGCAAAGCACAAATTCTTGCCAGACCCATGGTCCACAAGATTGTACTCGTCTTCGTCCCACTTCTTCCGAACCGCAAGAGGGTCATTGAGCCATGGTTTAGTGTTAATCACAGCTTTCATGAACACTTTGATACCGACGACACTGTTTGCCATGGGACCTAACACGGGGAGAACCGAATCTTGGCCGTCAAGTGTACCACGGGTACCATAGTACGGCAGACGCCCGTATGAAGGTCTAAGGCCGTATAAGCCGCAGAATGCAGAGGGAATACGAACAGAGCTATCATGAAGCCATCAGAAGGCTACCACTGATATCTCCAAATCCTTTTCATACCCTCCGAGATCGCAACCAACTCCCAAAGGGCTTCCTTTGAGAGCAACTAATGCACCCTCTCCTCCTGATGACCCACCGGAGGTCAGGGAGCGGTTGTATGGGTTTGTCGTCCGGCCGAAGACATGGTTGAAGGTTTCTGGCCACTGAAGATACTTCTAGCCTACGCGCAACATCGACATCGAGGGTGCGCTCACCGCAAGTGTTTGCGGAACGTTAGTGCGGACAAATGGTACAGCTCCGCATTCAATCAGAGTGTCGATCAATACTGCATTTTCATCCGCGTACTGCCCAACCAACGAAGCATACCCTAGGACATGGTGAATAACAGTGCGTCAAGCCTATGCCAGGATTGTTATTTACCTATAGTGGTTTCTAGTCCCTTGATACATAGCTGGTCCTTGAAGGAGATTGGCAGCCCGTGAAGAGGCCCAACGACCTGCCCTGTGGTCTTCAAGTAATCATCGAGTTCTGCTGCTCGGGCCAATGCACGATCAACAAAAATTTCCGTCAAGCAATTGACCTCGTCGGCCGGTTAATACAGTGATGTCGTCGCCTTGCAATTTGGCTTACAAGTTGATGGGCAACGATGGCCCTCTTGTAGAACGCGGTGGTCACGTCTACGGCTGTCCATGCAGCACATGCAAGTTTCTCCAACAAAACATCTACTGAAGTATTGGTGATCTCAATTTCTCTCGCGTTCAGAAGGCCGCATGTCTCTGGAAAAGCAGATACGTCCAGAGTAGAGTCCGAAGGTGGAGTCACAATCCACTCGTGTGGAATGGATTCTAACTGCCTTTGCTTCTTCTCTGCGGCTAGAGCAGTCCAGTGCGGTTTATCTGTGGTGATGGAATTGGCCATGGCCCTACCGGTAAGTAAAAGAAGAGTTGATTATTTGATCAGGATCATCAATAAGTAAACAATAACGACAATAAAGAGGTAGATAGAAGCCTTAAGCTGGATTTGGCATACAAGACTTAAGCTTAACGCCGTGCACGTGGTGCAGAATGTACCAAAGTGCCAGTCAAGTGCAAGAGGTGGGATTATTATCGTGGTCTTTATGTGTGTGTGTGTGTGTACTGTATCGGCCAACAATCTAATCTAAACGTCGAACAACATCATCACAGCGGGGACATAAATCATGCTGCTCTTCACGAGTATACGTCCAGCACCGTGGACACTTGCTCGAAGATGCAGGTCTAATGCGAATCACTAGCTCTAAGTCCGAGTCTACGCAGAAGAAATGAGGCAAATGAATACCAGAAACAGCTGTCAAAACATAGAGCATACCGGGTATATCCATTGAAGAGACATAGGACCATGCGAATGAACTAGTGCCGAGAGAACTTTCGTCCGTGATCTTGGCATCAGAAACGATGAACAGCGTCTTCAGGAACGTCTCTGCGCGCAAATACCGTTCAGTCACCAAAAACGGGAAGATCAAACTGCTCACCTTCGCGTTCGATCAACTGTAGCAAATAGGGTTGCACGGATATATCGTTGGGTAAGATAACATCGACGTCAGCTTCGAGAGAGCTCTTCAGATGCCTACATTGAAACACGTTCAAACTACGGACACAAAAATAATTGAATACTTACTTATCCCCTCGAGCCCTTTCCAAAAGAGATAGCACGACGCTGCGCATCCTCAGCAAACTCGCCATATCTTGTTCGGCATGCGGATCACTCCACTCAGCGCTCTATTTAGTTCAAGAGAATATCAGCGAAAGTACATGCAGCTGCGACATCAATGCTCACGACGGGAGTCCACTTCTTCGTAAAGACGGATAGCTGGGACACAGCTTCATCACCTCCGTGGAGAGTACTGTGGATTTCTTCTGCTAGGTAAGGTAGTACTGGGGCCATTACGGAGGTCATATAGTCGAGGACCTGGAAGAACATCAGTTACCAGTATATTCTCACCGGATAGCGCTCACTTTGGCGAGGGTAGTTACAACCGCCCGTCTCTCGACACTCTGAATGTCATTGGCATAGAGACAGTCCTTCCTGATATCAAAGTAGAGCGATGACAACGTGATGTTTGCAAAGTTGGTCAAGGAACTCATGACTAGCGCGCAGAATATAAGCTTGTAAATTCCATGAACACAATGAGCTCTCACCTTTCGGGAAATTGTAGTTTGCATATCCCTCTGCAGCTGTTTGATCGAGTTTGTAAAGCTCGTTCATCACGAAGCGCTCTGCCTGTCACAACAATCAAATCTGGCATCAGAGATCAATCGAATGCGTGGACTGACCAAGCCCAGTTCGCTGCGTTCAACAGGGACAAAGTGCTTTCGTTGAATAGTTGTACCAATATTTCCAAGAATGAACCGAGCAGAATTACGGATCTTCCTCATAGATTCCGCACACTGTGCAAGAACTGTGGGTCCAATAGACATATCTCGCCAGTACTCGACAGTTGCTACCCATAAGCGGAGGACATCGGTACCATACGCAGGTTCTTTCTTCTTATCCTGTCAACCGCAAAACTTCAGCAGACTATTTGCGCAAAATAAGCGACGACCGACCTTGCCACCGTGAATGATAGTCATCGGGCTGACGATGTTTCCGAGGGACTTACTCATCTTCTTGCCTGCCTCATCAAGTACCATACCGTGCGTGATCAGCGTTCCGTATGGGCTCACTGGCCTTGCAGCACTTCGTCCGGAGCTAACACCCACTGAGGTTAACAACTGGCTCTGGAACCACCCGCGATGCTGGTCTGTGCCTTCAAGACATACGTCCGCCCGATATTTTCGCTCGCCTGTAGGCGCGCTCAGTGTACTCCAATTTGACCCGCTATCAAACCAGACGTCCATTGTGTCCGTGCCTTTGCGCCAAGCTTCAGGCCCGCCTGCGAAATTGGCGAGCAGCTCTGGGGTAAGGAAGTCTTCGACTGGACCTTCCCACCAATGAGCGACGCCTCGCTCAGATAGAACACGCAATATGTGAGTGAGGGATTCGGATGAGAGGACAGCGGTATCCGTCGGGGTGTGGTACAGAGCCGGGATCGGGACACCCCACACTCGCTGGCGAGAAATGCACCATTCGGAACGCGAGCGAACGAATGACTCCAGTCGATTGCGAGCTATGATCAAACAAACTCAGAGTATAATCCCAAAGGATAGAATGGGGACATACATGACGGCGGATAGAACTGTACATCCTTCAGCGCATGGAGTGCATCATCCTTGATGCCATCCAGGTTGGCAAACCATTGCGAGGTGGCCCTGTCAGACTATGTAAGCACCGAGGCGTGCGTCTCCTGCCACGCGCAACTCACGTTACAATGATAGGTTCACCAGTCTTCCAATCATACGGATAGCGATGCTTGATCTTCTGCACTCTCACAAGGGACCCGATGGACTCCAGTAGTCTGATGATAGACTTGTTTCCACCCTTGAGTACCTCTTGACCTACTAGTGTTTGTGCAGCTTCTTCGCCTACGACATGAGCAACACCAAGAGAAAATTTGCCAGCATCGTCAACGTGACATATGATATCCGTGGGGCCTTGCAGAAGGCCTAATGCTCGGAACGCCAGGTAATCTTCTGCGCCATGTCCAGGGGCGCAGTGCACCAGACCAGATCCAGACTCCGATGTGACATGAGATGCCGCAATGATATTTGCACTCATTGAGCCAGACGGATGGATTGGAGAGAAGATGGAGCGGAATTGCGCGCCCACCAGATCTGCGCCCTTGATTTCAGCAATAACTTCGTGGGGTCCGATGATGTGCTCCAGCGCGACAAGACGATCTTTAGCAACAACGAGAGCATCCTCCTTGACAGATGAGCGCACGAAACTGTAAATCAATTCGGGATGAACGGCAATGCCCTGACGAAGGATATCTGTGAGGATGTTAAAATTGATGAAACTCATCCATACCATGTTTGCTGTTAGAGTCCAAGGTGTAGTGGTCCATACTAGCAAATTTGCCGAAGGCTCCTTGGCCAAGACTTCTCGGAGAGCAGTGCTCGCGATTGTAGTCTGCGAGTCCAACGGAAAGGTCACATAGGCTGAATACGAGACATGATCATCGTTATAGACGAGCTCCGCTTCGGCAAGAGCGGAATGCGATGAGGGAGAGTAATGTACTGGTCGGTAGTGCCGGTAAATAAGACCTACGTGGTATAGGAAATGAATAATAGAGTCGGGTTACAGGAGACAAGAAATCGTGTACCTTGGTCGACCATTTGTTGAAATACCTGAAGCTGACGAATTTCATAGTCATGGTCTTTAGGAAGAGGTCCGTAAGTCAAAATGTAGCCATAGATCAGTCTCAAGTCATACCAAGTGTACGGAAGGTCGTTTTTGGGCTCCAATCGGCCATTATGCAAAACTGCTCGAATTCCTCCTGCTGCGTCTTCATTTCGCGCTCTGCTGTTGCTTTGGCTGCTGCGCGTATGACATTGGGTGGTAATGAAAGAGCATCCTTCTGAATTTCATATTCATTCGACGCAACATCGCTAGGGAAAGAACTACGCGCCTTTAACTCCTGCAGAGCCTTATTTTCGATAGGTAAACCATGGCAGTCCCAGCCAGGGTGGTAGCTTCGACGGATGAGCGGTACTATTCAAGCGCAGGATGGAAGGACTCACTGTATTTGATGACCGGTCAAGACTTGGTACCTGTTGATGATGTCTTTCATAATTTTATTTAAAGCATGTCCTAGAAATAATCAAATGTCAATATTGCAAATTTTCGTATGTTGCTCTGTACATACCTATGTGAAGGTGACCGTTCGCATAAGGAGGGCCGTCGAGCAGAACGAAGAGTGGTCCATGCACATTCTGAGCCTATATACTGCTGAATCTAACAAGAAGAATTGATGAATTTGAATAACGCACCTGCCATCGATACAGCTCTTCGCAAGTCTTCTTTTTAAATAACGACTCGGACTGTGCTGAGTTCACCCAGAGCGGAAACGAAGTCTTCGGCAAGAGGAGTGTTTTGGAATAGCTAGCGTTCTGTAAAGACTGGGAAACATGGCAAGTAGTAAAGAGATGTCGACCTTTGGATGACTTGAGGAAATGCGGGCGAACTGGCCTCGTGGCGATTCGTCCAACCACTAGACACATGAAGCAAGGAACGCAGTCAACCCAAATGGCCGAAAAGTGAGAAAACCTAACCCTACGATGAGTCTCGAAATGGAAGCGGCGTATGAAGGGCGCCAAGCTGTTGTGTCACGGGCAAGCCGCAAAACCACTTGGGGTCAGTTTTATTATTTTATACAAAACTGGCAAAATTCTAGGTATGTAGACTATCAACGTTTCAACACGTACGTCCATCATTGCATGATTTTGTAAGGGATTATTTAGTGGGTTCAAAATTTCTAGGATAGCGTGAAAGTTCGGACACGGCCTCATATGTTCCGGCCTGACTCGGGCGCACCGTGGAGCGCCGCAAGAGTTCAACTTGAACTTAACCTCGAAACCTTCGATATTATATAACTGATAGCGAGCCAAAAGTATTGGAGGCGAGTATGTTGCCATGCGCGTCAACATCGACATCCAGAAACTCAATACATACCTGAAGTTCCATGTGCTGGTTGTCGCTGCTCCCGTACAGGTGCAACAGTTCAAGGCGCGGTCGCAATCTATCGAGGAGAGATTGCATTGTTGTCCTCAACTGCTCACCAAATTGAGCGCGAATACCGCATATTAAGCGCATTGCATCGATACAACATCAGTCCAACCACAAGGCCAGAGTGGATAGTCCCTGTCCCGCAACCTTTTGTCCTGTGCGAGGACGGTGGCGTTATTGGCGCTCCTTTCTATATCATGGAGTACCAGGGCGAATATGAACACCAGGCTACTGGAACTGCCACAGTAGGATCGAAGAGAATGGTACTTTTTGCCATCTCTTTATTGTATTAAGATGCTAAGCCTGATTACCTGAAGCTGGCTCCCAACTATCCGCTCATTGGCAGCATTGGCCTCTCTCGACCCATTCCAATTAGGCCTCAAGAACGGTGGTCCTACGACTGATTACTTCCCCCGTCAAATCAAATCTTTATATCGGTTGCTCGATCCCAGGCTATAGATATCGAGACAGGAAAAGCGACAACAAATATTCCGTATTTTGAAGAAATGGTTGGTTGGTACCAGAGGCACATCCCGGACGAGAGGAAAACTGGGCTGCGGATTGTCCATGGGAACTACAAGCTTGACAACATGATATTTCATCCAACAGAAAACCGGATAATTGGCGTACTGGACTGGGAGTTATGTACTCTGGGTAATCCAGTATATTCACCGATCACCATCTTCTGCATCTTGATTACATAGCTTACTGACCTCACAAATCCTACCCAACCATGGACAAACGACGCTCGTCAGACGATCTTTGAGGTACTGTGGGGCCAGTTGATATGATCAGTCACTTGTGTTGATGGAGACATTGTACATAGTACAATTGTAAAAGGCTGGCTGAGAGTACGGAGGGCGAAGTGAACTAAAATGTGTTAGATTCGAGACAAGAGCAAAGGTAAACGAGACGAGTAGGAAAACGTTTTGAGAAGGAGACTTTCTGTGAGGCTTTTTCGATACTGCTTGGAGCGAGGATCTGAGTATAGGATTCGCTGTAGTGATGAGAGTACATGGACTGTATATAAACGCGAAACGGTAAGGGTCCTCGGGTATGGGTAGACCGAACGATTATGAGAAAACGGTGGCAGAAGGGGTGGTGTTGAGCCTGGCAGGGTAGAGTAGTAGGACTGAGAAAAAGAATACGAGATATTTGAACGAGTGACGGTATGAGTGTTGCAGAATAACGAGAGTCGCGTAGTAGTTGACAGATTCAGAAACAACGAACTGAAAATGGGATGACAGTAACGAGAGAAAGAGACTGAGGGTCGATATCAATGAAGGGTATAGTGTAAGATAGGACTAAGACCATGCTGGTTGTCGACGACAGTGAGATAATGAGGGTAAAGGAATGCGTGACTCGGAATCTCGGATGCGACTCAGCGTGAAGCTTCTTCGCATCAATGAGTCACGTGGATGGTTGGACCTGGGTCCGTGCGTCTTATTTTGAAGTCGTGGTCGGGGCGTAGAGGATATACGATCCTTACACAATGGTAATCAGAGTACTTGCTAGTGAACTGTGTGATTACGAGAAAATCGCGAGCCACTCTGAGCACCCCCTATGTATATACAATCTCTTCAGGGGCCTCGGTTCGCCCCCTCCCGTGGATTTTGATTGTCTGCAACTGTAGATACCTCTACATCCATCCTCTTATGACTACAATGATAATGAACTACATTTACACAGGGTTGGTCGATTGAATCGTGTCCAGTTCCATATCACTGCTAGTCGATCGACGTCTGAGAGCCTGGAAAGCAATCGCAGTCATATTAATTCCCCCATCAGACCTAGTCGCGAGCTTAGAGTGATATTCTCGAATGCTAAGGATCAGACGTGGTCCCAGCACAAACATCTGCAACACTCGTGCAATTCGGAGAGCGCCGGCATAAATATCATCTGCCACGGTTGTTGAGTGCTGTAGAAATGAAGAGGGGTCAGATGCAAGTATCAGTTATGGAACAACGCACCCGTAAACCTGGAGCCAGGTCGCCGATGTTGAAGCAAGCTACAGTAGCAAATCTAGCATATGAAGAACATCAGTGAGATACAGACCGTCAAATAACCGAACTCACGCTAGAAAGTACAACGCATGACTTTTTATTAACATCGTGAAACAGTCTCCAATGGTGGATCCGCTCTGTGATTGTCGTATTTCATAGAAGCGTAGTATAACAATCCAGACTGCAAGAAGAAAGGCAAGAATCTCCCATATAGCGATGGGTATCACCATCTCGTGATTTAGATTCATCCGGTATGTGTCGATCTGGACAAGACAGATATGGTAGCCAGAAAGGACGAATTCCTCTGGTATCCGTCCATGAGTCTCGTGTGCTTAAGGATTCGATCAATGATCAAAGCTTACTCCCTGAAATACCAATGTTTCCTATGCCTAGCATAACTCCGGAGGCGATTGTGGAAGCCAGTAAGGCTATAACGAGAAAAATAAGTATCGGTTTCGATTGCTGAAACATGGCATATATCCGAGTTGTCATGATGACTTGCACGATATTTCAGTTAAGTCAGTACCAGTAAGATATCGCGACGAGCTCACCAGCCAACATAGCATTGACGACGACAGGCGTCCATGTTTGGAAGGAGTAAAAAAAATTGCCTGGAAAATCTCAGTTACTAATGTGCGTTAGGGTACTAAATGCGTCAAATGAACTCACAGCTGTTGCAGTCATTACGTGGAAGAAATTAGGCGACTAAGAATGTCACTCACCCCTATGGAAGTCTGTAGTTAGTACTTAGTTGGGCAGGCATTGGTGAAGAAAGCCTACCACATCGGTATTCAATATTGGGACATTTCCTTCATGCCGTCAGTCAAATAGAAAGAGCATGATTGAGGATACATACCTAGGAAGCTGATGCTGATTGTAAGAGATGATATTATTAGTACAGCGCCGAGTCATTTGATCCGCCTCCCAAACATACATAGCATATAGTATTCCAACATAGCGCACCTATGTTATGTCAACTTGACAACTGCGCATATAACATGAGCTACTCACACTGATATATAACAGATTCATGAGAGACAAGCGTTGCTTCTGTCCAGAATCGAATGAATTATCCGATTTGAGCTTCTGATATGAATCGTTCTCACCCAAACCAGCTCGAACTGTAGAAACATTCTTAGTGAGATGGCTAGGCCGATCATGGCATGATCAACTCACCTCTTGTCCAGATGTCAATGCTTTGATACAGTGTAAATGAGCGATCCCCTCTGAAAGTATTATTTCGCTCACCCCAATCGTATACCACCACGACAGAGGCTACAACTGCGAAACCACAGTCAGTGAAAGTTAGTAAAATGTCACCGACATGCTCCGTCCGAGTTGCTCTCCACGAACCTGCAGCATTGCTGTAAGCACGAGTCCAAACGAGAAACGGCCACCAAGCGGGATCATTGACATAGGTGTTATCAGGATCATCTGAGACGTATGTCATAATGGGATTGGCAAACGAGATGGCAAACGTACAAAGCAATGACCAAGCGCGGCTTTTATAGCTACGAAACCTCATTACGTGCGACTGGCCGCGTGTGCTGGGCGGCAGATCTGATGGATAGATGGCACTAGAAGTAGCACCTAGATGAATAGCTTCGTAAGGACTCGACTCGGAGTCTCGGAGTCACCGCCATTCCAAATCAGAACCTTCCAAGTCAGAGTACAATTGCATGCTGCCCAGCCTTCATTGAGATTTAAAAGATAAGCGCTGAGTGCTGAGCCCGACTGCGTGGATCACTTTTGATCTATCAGATAGTGTTAGTACTAGTGTAAGGCCTGATTGGAGACGGAAATGAACCCGGTATCCAAAGAACAGCAAAGACTATATCATAGAAGCTGTGCAACCTCGCACGGCCGGTCCGCTGTCAAGCACACTGTTAGCACTACGTGTAACGTCCTGTTACATATGTATTACCTTTCGCTAGAAGTTTAGAACTGATAGTTGCCACTGAAAAAGTTGCAAGTTTGTACACATGGGACAATTTTTTTTCGATAATCGATTTGTTATTTGGCTGATTCCCATGCAAAATGGTGAATGTGCGCTCCATTGGAGTTTCGGAGTCCTTGTCGATTAATTGGGGATACTGCTACGTTTAGTTCGGGTCACATGCAGGTCATGTGATCGCGTCGTGTACATCATTAGAGGTAAAGTGAACATAAGTACCAAGAGGACGGCACGAGCTGTGATGTACAACATAACAGGTAATACATAGACCAAGGTTCTGGACGCAAGTGGTGTAGTGCAGGATGTCCAAGGTGAATGTAATGGGGACAGCGAGCCAGGGCATGCAAGTTATAGCGATGGCACACGACAAGAGGTACGTACCCTGCTATCAGAGGCTTCTGTGAATCTGTTGGTAAATCACAACCTCCGCCTGTAAATTTTCAGTGGCGAGGCAATGTACTGTACGCTCGTGCTGAACTCACAACTTCTCATAGCGACACAATATAGTGCGAGACAATCAAATGCCCCCGCAAGAGTTCCCTCAGCACATATCAGCTGGACGAGCATGCAGACATTGGTAAACATACCAAGTAAATGCCAGACAAGATGTACGAGATCCGTCTATTTTGACCCCACAATGCGTATGTTTGAATGATGAAGTTACCTAGCGCTCTTCGTAAGACATCAACAGAATATAGTGTATGTGTCCTCACACTCGACACACACGAACACTAACACAAGCTTAGAATCCCTAGATAACAAGCTTTTAGGGGGACATACCACAGCACCGGTCATGAGATAGTACACATAGAGATTAATAAGATCAAGAATTGTGCATTCCTTACCAGATTATCAAAAATGAATGTAGTGCATCATGACTGACTCACCGTTTTAGCTTCTCCATGGTAGATATGAACACAACTGTGGCATTCGTTGTGAATACACTGGGCCAAAAGAGATGACTTGACCTGTGTGGGATTCGGACAACGCACGCAGGATGAGAGAGTGCTTGGCATACCCCGTATGAAGCTGTTGCGAGCGATGCTTTTTGGCTTGCCCAATAGGCAATCTGGACCCCATTGATATGTTAGCAACCCGCACTTGTTCCAGGTTAACACGACCTGCTTCGTAGTCAAGGTGAATTGAAAATCACAAACCTGTGTCTGGTGAGAGAATACCGGAGAGATGTCGTGCAATATTGCGCCCATCAAGACCATCATCGTAGCAACTGCGTTAGCAGACCATGGGTTCATAACTGGCTCATAGAGGTGATCTACTTACAAAAAATGTACTCCAAAGCAGATGAATAAGTCCATGATTTGGGTGCATAACGACATAAATACTTACACTTCCATCGAGGAAAAACTATGTATGATATCATGCTGGACTAGTGCTGTCAGTTACCATCGTGTGAGGGCGCTGATGTATATATATGTTTGACGGTGATCTCCGTGATAGTGGTACTTAGGGGGTGCTAAGCATAGACGCCTCGATTCTAAATTCCACGAATTGCATCTAACAACAATGGCCGCGTAATCTGTTGAGGGGCTTGGGGGGATCATGATGAAGTTGATCTTGGCTTGGCAATCCCTAAGTAAGGACCGTCATTTGATGAGTCGTTTTAGAACCTCGACGCTAGCCATGGCAAGTTACTCCCGGATGATAGGAACCTTTGGCGACGCCAAAAAAAGAAGGCACCGTTCCGCGAAGGCCGCACCGGACTGGAGACCCCGCCATGTTCGAACTATAATGCATATTTTGGACGAGGTTAGTTATGACCAACTCAATCCCTGCTCTGGAGCAAGGTGTAGAACAAGGACGGCGAGACGACCTCGAAGCATTCTCCTATACCTCTTATATGGCCGTCGCAAGACATATGCGCACCAGGCCCATCTAGACAAAACTACTCTTCGAATGGGAGAGATGAAAACTGGCTCAGCGGCATCTCGTGCCTTCTCGTGTCTTCTCATGTAGAATTTACGACATACTTTGATCATTGCTGTGGTTTGAAAAACCAAAGTACACATTGTTGAGGCAGCTGTTCAGCCAGGTTTGACCCGTGATGGAAGTTCAGGTAAAGGTACACTGGTGCCCAAAGTATCAACTAGATGTCCTGGTTCACAGGGGGTGATTTGACCCGCTACAGGTCATGCTCCCTTGTTGCATTTGGCGGAGGGGTATACTCTCGACCATATGTCCAGGGAGAGAGACCCGTTCCGCCTTGATGGAGAGACTTGAATTATAAGACACTCAACTCGGCCATACAGTCATCATCGCAGTCAGTCGATAGCGAGTTCTTGGGTTTAGCCCATCCCAACCTTGCATAAACTTTGCAGGTGCGAAGCTGAGGGTAATGAAATCTTGTTGAAATTTCGTGCTTATATCGCTCGGTATGAACATATAATCCAATAAGTTCGGGTCGGTGTTGAACCGAACCACACAGAACATTTCTGAACAGTCCCATGCTAGAAAAACCATGGGCCGACTAGTACATCACGTCAGCCTTAGAACAAACATCAAGAATCGATAGGCCAACCTCGCCCTCTGGGCCCTTCGGGCTTTATTTGTAAACAGCTTTGATGTATGAGATTGAGTGCCTTAACAGCGTCACGGCTCTCGATAACACACGATATATTGATTTCGCTGGCGCCTTGGCTGATCATCTCGATATTCACATTACCCTGGCCAAGGGAGGTAAACATACGTCCCGATATACCAACCAGGTTCCGCATATGTTGACCAACAAGGGAGAGAATGGCCATTTCACGGTGGACGGAAACCTGGGACTCATGTTAATTAAGGCGCCAGTGCTATCAAGGATACTCACGGTTCCACTCTTCTTCAGTTCCCCTACCAGCCGCTCCATAGTGGTCTTGGATAGATTGTCCTCGATAGCCATGCTGACATGTACTTCGCTAGTGCTAATAAGGTCTACAACCACGCCAAACCGGTCAAGGGTTCCAAATATCCTAGCCAGGAAGCCGTGAGATACACTCTTGCGATTCGAATTGACGTTGAGTACGACAATGCGTTCTTTTATTGTCACGGCGGTCGGTAGTCGCTTGTTCCTATACAATTCGTCATTGGACAGAGAGAGGCCTTGTTGTATTGTAACTGGCACTTCATAAAGACCATCGTCTTGCGATGCCTCGATATCTGGGTCGGGATGAATCACTGTGCCACCGCCCAGGGGGTTCTCCACGTTTTTGATTCTTATTGGAATTTTTCGGCGAATGACCTGCAGTTCAAGGTATGAGAAAAAGTTGAGATTCAATGATGGCCCTTCTGACCTGCTCCATCGTGAATGGATGTACGACTTCACTCCCATAATAAGTCAGTTCAGCGGCTTCGTCGGGCGATATTATAGGTATCAATCGTGCGGTGGGCACTTTTCGAGGATCCGCTGTAAATATCCCGTCAACTTCCTTCCATATCTGTAGTTCTGATGCTTCGAGGCCGACGGCCAGAAGGGCAGAGAGCAAATCAGTGTATCCTCGGCCGACTTGCCGGAGAAGCGAACCCGGTATGTGGCCAAAGAAGCCGGTAACAACGGGTACGCGAGGTGTGCATCCCTTGATGCGTTCTCCGACAGCAGTGGCCACGCCATCATAAAAAGCTTGATCAAGAATGCCTTCTCGTGCGGTGTCGCTATCCTCGGATACAGGAATTATGTCTTCCAGTGATACGTACTCTGCGTCAATGCCCTGTAGAGGGCAGATCAGTCTCATTGAGGAATTTTTGATACGAAAAACCTACTTGGTCGCGGAGAATGGCTGTCATCAGTTTACAAGCTAATCGCTCGCCGAAACCTATGATGCTATCCCGCGAACGTGGTGATATTTCATTGATTACCTGGTAATCACAGACACATTCATGTTAGGTTAGACGATAAGCGGTAGTGCAGTCAAATGGATTGAATGCACCTGAGCAGCAAACAAGAAACTACGGAGCCAGTCGCAGTCTCGATCTATCTCAGCCTCGAGTTCTTGGAGAATCTCCGTATTTTGGATAGATGCTTTTGCAGCATCCATATGCTCTGACCGTATAAGGTCGACAGTAACGTTAAATTCAGGTTGAGACTGGCCAGTCTGGGGTGTTATCAGTGGTGTCAATGCACCCGTGGACGGAGAGGAAGGCGTTGGTGAAAATCTGCACATTGGAGTAGGGGAAGTTTCTGATGATCTCCTAAATATACCATTTATCGAGGGAGTCGTAGTACCGCAATCATTGAATAACTTGTGTCGTTGTCGCTGTGCCTCGGAGGCAGCTTTGAGCAGGAGATTGGTAGTTCCCAGAGCCTTCGCGGACCCAGACCGTGCAGAGCAGACGACAGCAATTTTGTGCTGGCCAATATAGCTTCTAAAGGCGAAGTCAAGATACTCAAAGTGCAGCATAAACGAAGACTTACGGTACGATGTCACGAGCGATATTAACTGCAAATTTGCCCACACTAGTACCTCCATACTTCTGGACTATCCATTTTGCTTCTGGATCCACGTTGTTCTGACGCAACACCAATGGATTCGTAGATGGCCCAGAGGTGGAAGGCAGAGTAATCGGATCTAATTTTGATCCCAACATCACACTCTCCAGAGATAGTTTACGGCCACGCGGTGCTAGCACAAGAGCTTGAGACTGAGAGGGAACACAACAAGCTCAAGATGTCAAAAAAAGAAATGGTAGACCTTGGTTATATGAACGATTGCTCGTGTACATGGAAAACAAATTTGCTGACTTCTTGCCAGCTGTAAGAGACCCCTGTCACCCGAGGCTATAAGTAATATCGTAAGCAGAAGTGTACTGAGTGGCACTAGTGAGCCATCATTGAAATGGCAAAGATACTTAATCTCCGTTGCAACTTGCAATACATACCCGCATATGTGTATTGAATAGGTTTGAATAGGTCGCTGATATTCACATCACTACTTTCAATCATGCCAATCCTCTTTCACCATGTCATTATCAGGCCGTGAGTACATATGCATCATTATGAATTGATCAGGTCAGACTTCAGAGAAGTTCGAAGTCAGTCGTTCAATCTTCCCAGTGCGCCAATGTGACGCCTGGCATGTAAGCCGAGACAGCTGCTGGCAGCTTTTCGCTGCAGTAAGCACGTGTCACATAATGCGAGGCGCCAGAAACTATACACTTACGTATGTAGATAATGAAATGCTATCCTTAGCACGATTGTCAACGATAAGCTTAGAGGGAACGACTCAATGGGTGTTTCATGGTACCTATATTTCCGATCTAGATAGGTCGACACTCTTCAGTGTTTCGCTACTCCAAGTGCTGTAGAGTCTGCCCACACGAAACGCCGATTTCTGATCAGTCATTTCTGGAACGTCGGAACTTTTGCCAAGATGGGAGAGATATTAGAAGACTGCCAGTAACATGTACAGGAGCGGCACGTACAGTCGCGGAAGAGGCGCTCAATGTCGTAGAATCACTGAAGTCGCCATCGGAGTCCTTGAACGAGACACTATGGCTGCAGTGATGAATTGTAGGACTTACAAAAATAGATTGCTTGGCCTGAATGCCATATTCATACAACGTCCAGAGGTGCGAGCGTTTTGCGACGACGATTCGAAAGCCAGAGCGCCCAATCGTACTGATCACTGTATGATGCAGCGATGGATCGCCAACTAAAACAATGACAATCAGGACTTGCGGCTGAGAACGTGGAGATCCCCTTGGGGCCCGGGACCCAAGGTTGTCTCGATTTGGAACCTTCGGTCCAGAACGTGTGGAGAATTTTCATATCATGGCTTTGCACTTCTGCTGGCCAGACTGGGCTAGCGGAGATGAAGAGGTTTAAAGCTGCGGGACCCACAGGGATAACAAGTATCGGATATGCCTTATAAGCGACACGGGATGATTCGTTACCAACCGTATCTCGTGTCCTTGCCCTTGGGCGGTAATCCGACCAAAAAGGGAGTCCTGAAACACTCTTACGACGTGCGGTAGCTTTCAGGGGTCGAAAGAGTGAGAAGGATCTAGTCAGCTTTACCAGGCTTTACCCACGTCCAGGGACCGGAGGAATGGAGGAGCCTCGCTTATCGAGTCGAATTCTTACAGAGCGGACAATGTAAAATTGCCGTCCAGCTTTCACCCTTTGACGTCGTGACAGCCATATGCGACAAGGCCCCCTTGGTGTGATGTGTTTGAAGTAGATACTAATAGCAGTATGCCAGGGTATGCCAGTTTGGTCCGGGGGCCCAAGAGAGCGCGGGTTGCCTTGTGTAGCATATGTGCCTGAAGTATTTGTCTTGCGTTGAGAGACAAGCCTATTCTTGGAGGATAATCAGGTACAGCACAAAGGAATGTTTGAAAACGCCTGCAAAGCCGCGCGTCGGTCAGAAAGTACTCACGAATGCGAACGACATTGCGTATTCAGTTGAGCCGTATCACAAGGATTTGCAAGTTGGGAGATCATGGTGTGCCACACAGTCAAATGGCATATCTTTAAAAGGTGCCTGCCTGAGAGAGCAGCATGATGATAACGCTAGTGGCAAGTGACCAGTCAGACTCGGATATGAAAGAGCAGGAAAAGGCATGGCCGTGATGCGTTGATGGTGATGCCGCAATTAGTGAAGAGGAGGGAACTCGTTACTAACCCGAAAGAGTTGTTCACGTGTAACGCCCAGCTGAGAAACAGGCACCAGGTTCTACCAAGTTGGTGCTTGCCTGGTCCGGTGATTTCTCGATTGGTAGACTATAATAACAAACCAAGAACCCACAGAAGGTACCTATTGCTGGCAAAAAGAGCATGTCCGGCGTCAACCTTCGCCAAGGGTTATAATTTGCAGTACGTCTTGTGCCTGGCAAATTACTGCATTGCTACCGGACCCAGCTTTGCCCAGAGAACTCTCTGTTAATATCTTCCATCACTTGCTTTGCGGTTTTTTGTAGCCTGGCATCCCACAGTTCGCTATGTCTGGGGCAGTTACAAAATCTGCGCATGACTTCGACCCTCTAGACGAGGCTCTCAGGCCACCAATAAACGAAACTGAGGAGGATCGTGTTATCAGGCAAGCTCAGGAAGCCGAGGCACGCAGAGTAAGCCAAGCAATAGATGACTCAATACGAGCGGAGAAACAGGCGCAGAAGAAGAAGGGTATCGTTAGACTATTATTGTTGGGTCAAAGTGAATCAGGTATGTCCGACGTGGTCAATATCATTTATGTTCACTTTGACAATGTCTTGGATGGTAGGCAAATCGACGACACTAAGGCGTGCGTATGAATAACTCCACCGAGCTGGGTGAAATTGAGTCATTCTGATTAGACTTCCAAAAACTGTATACCCCCACTGCCTTCCATGAAGAACGGATACTCTGGCGCAGCGTCATACAGCTCAACATCGTGCGGTCTGTCCGTACAATCCTCGACGCCTTATCCGACATTCGGCTTCCTACTCTTGATAGTGGAGGCGAAGACAGCGATGACAGTGGAACCAATTTACCCCAGGAACTCGAAATGTTACAGATGCGGCTCACTCCACTGCGTCATATTGAGGCACTACTCATTGCAAAGCTAATACCTCCGAGCGAAGATGAGGTGGCTTCTGTGATTGGAAGCAGTGCTATTAGTGCATACCACTCTCATCGCAGCCGAAGTAGTGAGCGTTCGTGGAGAGCTCAAGAAGTCTTCGTACGCCCGGGAGCCACATGGAAGGGAGCGCTCGCGAAGAGTACTCGTACTCGGCCAGTTTCATTAGGCAATACGGGAATGCAAACCCGGGACGAAGCGCAAGAAGTTATTCATTCGTGCAGTTATGACATCATGGCTCTCTGGAATGACAGGCTTGTTCGGGAGGTTTTGCGGCGGAGAAAAATTCGCCTCGAAGAATCCTCTGGATTGTAAGCCTTTTGTCTCATTCCACGTCTGGTTCTACTTGAAACATTATGGCTTTATAGCTTCCTCAACGACTTGGATCGAGTCACGGCCCTAAATTACACCCCAAACGATGGTGAAAATACTCTCATGTTCTGGCAATAAAGGGAAAATTGACCATTGATATAGACGATGTACTTCGGGCGCGCCTGAAGACGGTCGGCGTTTCGGAATATCGGTGTGAAATGGAGGCCGTGGCTGGACGTGAAAGTGGTACTGAATGGAGGATAGTTGACGTTGGAGGTTCCCGGTCGCAGGTACGTATTAATTGCTTCTCTCATCCCACGCTTAGCCCTTTCCGTTATCTTTGCAGAGAGGTGAGAAGCTCATTCGTGTTCAGTGTTAGCGAACGCTGAATCCCACCTTTTAGCAACATGGGTGCCCTTCTTTGATGATGGTTCGTCCTTGATGTCCTTGATGTGCGGTCTGCTTATACTACTCCTAGTCGATGCAATTATCTTCCTTGCGCCAATATCCAGCTTTGATCAAGTTCTCGCTGAGGATCGCAGCGTGAACCGCCTCGTCAGTCACCTGTCATGCTATCGTTCTTTTTTGGGTTTACTATTTCTGTACAGGAGGACAGCGTGCTATTATGGAAAGCTGTCTGCTCAAACAAACTGCTCGCCAACGTTGATCTTGTTCTATTCCTGAACAAGTGCGACATACTTGACGCGAAACTCACATCAGGGATAAGGTTGTCGAAATACGTTCGCAGCTACGGAGACCGTCCTAACGATATGGAGACGGCCTCGAAATGTCAGCAGACTGTCTTTACTTGGCTCAGCCACTGATTTTTCTCGCAGACTTCCGAAGCAAGTTTAGCGCGATACATCGAGAATATTCACCGCTCCCACGGAAATTTTATGGTTTTTGCACGACTGTTACAGTACGCTCATTTGTTTCAGTTCTATTTATGGCTCCTGAATTTAGCTTTATGATGCAGGATACGACGACGACGGCTGGTATTCTCGCTAGTGGTAAGTCCAGTGTGGCTCTTTCAATCATGTACACTGACATTATGATAGTGCGAGATATGGTTGTACGCAGACACCTCAAGCAATCCAGGCTGCTATAGTAGCTCTCATTAACTTGAGTTTAAAGACCGGGCCTCTAGAAAATGGCCTAAGGAATCATTGCCGCGTCTCCATCTACGAGCTGCGTCTACGCTCAACATGATACCACGCATGTTCCATCCCAATACCTAGATTCGCCGCAACAGGGTCACCCCCATTTGATAACGAAATAGTACCAGCATCTACGCCCATCGATGATTCATGACTTCATATCATCTCTTCGTCCCACTTATCATTCTGCCTGCTCTGGAAGGAGCAGCATCTATTTTTCCCAGCAGCTGTAGCACATAGTTCAAGAGTTCGTCCTGTCTACTCATCTCACCACCTCTGTCTCGTGATTTATGTGTTTATCCATTGGTTAGTCCTTGTTAACTACTACACTCATGTTCTCTGGATTTTCAGAGCTCCTTGGGAGCTGCCTTATATTTACCACGCATTCGACATACCTGTTTACTCCGTGGGGGCGAGCGTGTACATGCTCATTCTCTACTGTACGACTGTACAACTGATGTGTTACCACTCATATACATAACTGTAAAACCTGGCCAAACCCATGTCATTCAGACACTTCGATGGTTGATCTGCAAAATTCGAGCAGATCGCAAACAGATCCTGCTGATCAACGTTGCAACCACCATATAGATCCCCGTTGCGTGTTGCAATATTGTATATTCGCCCATCCTCTCAGACTGCCTTTTTCCGGATTTGTTTTGTCTAAGGAAAATATGGGCTGATCAACCAACTCGAAGCCCCCCTAAGACGACAACTAAACCTGTCAATTACATATGAGGATAGTCTCGGACCTTCCCGCATGCGCAAGGAGCTTGCCAAGTTTCAGGTACTTAATTCCGGATGATCCTGTCTTCGCACAAAGTGCCCTTAATGTTGGGTCTCGCATACTTGCGAGACTCGGAACGGGTTCTACTTGTAAAGTAGTGATCATTAACGTTGCTAGGTACTACGTAGTCTATATATATATATACTACGAGTGAGAACGTTGTGCGTAGCCAAGTCGAGTCTGTTTCCAGCAATTCGGAAGACAACACATATGGGTTGTCCTGTAACACTCCCCTTAAGTTGTGAATCGACTCATTTAAGTTATACTCCTCATGATCAGGTACCAGTGTGCCTTGGCCGGAACTTCCATTTACCCAATCAACATGGAATCTTCAGATTGTCCACCCTTTATCTGGATCAACAAATGTCTCACTATGCAGTTCGGCTCTTCTTCAGAGTTCAAACCGTAGCAATGATCAAAGTACGTCGTGGATTCACAAGAGAGCGCACGAGCGGGTTACGGAGTGCTGGACCAGCTTTCAGCTTTCCCGTTGGAGCAGTTCGGCTTCTTTGCTTGGCGTGTAGATGCTTGCCACAGTGGCAGACGGCCATGCAGGAGATACTTATGATAGGATGTTGCTCGATGATTCAAGATCATCTCGCCAACTTGTTTCTGCACCTCGCTGATTAGCTTCGAGCAGGACTTGGTGGATTGGCAGCTGACGAATCCTTAGGTCCGGAGCTCCTGTATACAGCCGAAGTCAGCCAAGGGCTTAGACGTCTAGACCTTTGATTGCTGGAAAGGGCCGAGTGCTGAGTTCAATGTGGGAGAGATGTAGTTCATTTATTACATAATATTTAATTCCGGATGCTACAGCTTGGCGCCCTTCATACGCCGCTTCTACTTCGAGACTCATCTTGTTCTGCTCGACGGCCCTCCTTATGCGAACGGTCGCCTTCACATAGGTATGTACAGAGCAACATACGAAAACTTGCAGTACTAACATTTTATTATTTCTAGGACATGCTTTAAATAAGACTACGAAAGACATCATCAACAGGTACCAAGTCTTGACCGGTCATCAAATACAGTGAGTCCTTCCTTCCTGTGCTTGAATAGTATCGCTCATCCGTCGAAGCTACCACCCTGGCTGGGACTGCCATGGGTTGCCTATCGAAAATAAGGCTCTGCAGGAGTTAAAGGTGCGTAGTTCTTTCCCTAGCGATGTTGCGTCGAATGAATATGAAATTCAGAAGGATGCTCTTTCATTACCACCCAATGTCATACGCGCAGCAGCCAAAGCAACAGCAGAGCGCGAAATGAAGACGCAGCAGGAGGAATTCGAGCAGTTTTGCATAATGGCCGATTGGAGCCCAAAAACGACCTTCCGCACACTTGGTATGACTCGAGACCGATCTATGGCTACATTTTGACTTACAGACCTCTTCCTAAAGACCATGACTATGAAATTCGTCAGCTTCAGGTATTTCAACGAATGGTCGACCAAGGTACACGATTTCTTGTCTCCTGTCACCCAACTCTATCATTTATTTCCTATACCACGTAGGTCTTATTTACCGGCACTACCGACCAGTACATTTCCCTCATCGCATTCCGCTCTTGCCGAAGCGGAGCTCATCTATAATGATGATCATATTCAGCCTATGTGACCTTTCCGTTGGACTCGCAGACTACAATCGCGAGCACTGCTCTCCGAGAAGTCTTGGCCAAGGAGCCTTCGGCAAATTTGCTAGTATGGACCACTACACCTTGGGCTCTAACAGCAAACATGGTATGGATAAGTTTCATCAATTTTAACATCCTCACAGATATCCTTCATTAGGGCATTGCCGTTCATCCCGAATTGATTTACAGTCTCGTGCGCTCATCTGTCAAGGAGGATGCTCTCGTTGTTGCTAAAGATCGTCTTGTCGCGCTGGAGCACATCATCGGACCCCACGAAGTTATTGCTGAAATCAAGGGCGCAGATCTGGTGGGCGCGCAATTCCGCTCCATCTTCTCTCCAATCCATCCGTCTGGCTCAATGAGTGCAAATATCATTGCGGCATCTCATGTCACATCGGAGTCTGGATCTGGTCTGGTGCACTGCGCCCCTGCACATGGCGCAGAAGATTATTTGGCATTCCGAGCGCTAGGTCTTCTGCAAGGCCCCACGGATATCATATGTCACGTCGATGATGCCGGCAAATTTTCTCTTGGTGTTGCTCATGTCGTAGGCGAAGAAGCTGCACAAGCACTAGTAGGTCAGGAGGTACTCAAGGGTGGAAACAAGGCTATCATCAGACTACTGGAGTCCATCGGGTCCCTTGTGAGAGTGCAGAAGATCAAGCATCGCTATCCGTATGATTGGAAGACTGGTGAACCTATCATTGTAACGTGAGTTGCGCGTGGCGGGAGAGGCACGCCTCGGTGCTTACATAGTCTGACAGGGCCACCTCGCAATGGTTTGCCAACCTGGACGGCATCAAGGATGATGCACTCCATGCGCTGAAGGATGTACAGTTCTATCCGCCGTCGTGTATGTCCCCATTCTGTCCTTTGGGATTATACTCTGAGTTTGTTTGATCACAGCTCGCAATCGACTGGAGTCATTCGTTCGCTCGCGTTCCGAATGGTGCATTTCTCGCCAGCGAGTGTGGGGTGTCCCGATCCCGGCTCTATACCACACCCCGACGGATACCGCTGTCCTCTCATCCGAATCCCTCACTCACATATTACGTGTTCTGTCTGAGCGAGGCGTCGCTCATTGGTGGGAAGGTCCAGTCGAAGACTTCCTTACCCCAGAGCTGCTCGCCAATTTCGCAGGCGGGCCTGAAGCTTGGCGCAAAGGCACGGACACAATGGACGTCTGGTTTGATAGCGGGTCAAATTGGAGTACACTGAGCGCGCCTACAGGCGAGCGAAAATATCGGGCGGACGTATGTCTTGAAGGCACAGACCAGCATCGCGGGTGGTTCCAGAGCCAGTTGTTAACCTCAGTGGGTGTTAGCTCCGGACGAAGTGCTGCAAGGCCAGTGAGCCCATACGGAACGCTGATCACGCATGGTATGGTACTTGATGAGGCAGGCAAGAAAATGAGTAAGTCTCTCGGAAACATTGTCAGCCCGATGACTATCATTCACGGTGGCAAGGTCGGTCATCTCTTATTTTGCGCAAATAGTCTGCTGAAGTTTTGCGGTTGACAGGATAAGAAGAAAGAACCTGCATATGGTGCCGATGTCCTCCGCTTGTGGGTAGCAACTGTCGAGTACTGGCGAGATATGTCTATTGGACCCACAGTTCTTGCACAATGTGCGGAATCTATGAGGAAGATCCGTAATTCTGCTCGGTTTATTCTTGGAAATATTGGTACAACTATTCAACGAAAGCGCGGTCGTAACTACCCTCACCAAAGTGAGCGCTATCCAGTGAGAATATACTACTAACTGATGTCTACCAGGTCCTCGACTTTACGACCTCCGTGATGGCCCCAGCACTACCTTACCTAGCAGAAGACATCCACGGTACTCTCCACGAAGGTGATGAAGCTGTGTCCCAGCTATCCGTTTTTGCGAAGAAGTGGACTCCCGTAGAGTATTGATGTCGCAGCTGCATGTACTTTCCCTGATATTCTCTTGAACTAAATAGAGCGCTGAGTGGAGTGATCCGCATGCCGACCAAGATATGGCGAGTTTGCTGAGGATGCGCAGCGTCGTGCTATCTCTTTTGGAAAAGGCTCGAGGGGATAAGTCAGTATTCAATTATTTTTATGTCCGTAGTTTGAACGTCTTTCAATGTAGGCATCTGAAGAGCTCTCTCGAAGCTGACGTCGATGTTATCTTACCCAACGATATATCCGTGCAACCGTATTTGCTACAGTTGATCGAACGTGAAGGTGAGCAGTTTGATCTTCCCATTTTTCGTGACTGAATGATAATTGCGTGCAGAGACGTTCCTGAAGACGCTGTTCATAGTTTCTGATGCCAAGATCACGGACGAAGGCTTTCTCGGCACTAGTTCATTCACGTGGTCCTATGTCTCTTCAATGGATATACCCGGTATGCTCTATGTTTTTGACAGCTGTTTCTGTTATCACACCCCATGATGTTGAACACGAGACACCCACATACACATTGTATTATGACCGGTTGTATTACCCTCATCCCACCGTTTTTGCGACTGCCCCTGCTTTTTGTGTGTGGTTGCAATCGGCACTTGAGCTTCATGTCCAGTCCCGTTCTGCATGCAGTCATTTTGACCTTCCTGTGTCTGTGATCTTCCATGAACCTAATGTCGTGGTACGAGTGGGTGAGGAATCATGTTTTTCTTGTTCTCAGTTTGAGTCACCATCTTACACGCATTGTTTTGTTATTCAACGTTTTACGTTGCGCTCACAGAACCTTCAGTCTTCTACAGAGGTCTCCGCTCTCTCCGTTGCCGCACGTAATCCATCGTGGTTTACTGCATCGCCTTTCTGTCCTGCGTGATGCTGCCCAGTGCATTGGATGTAAGCGGTCAGGGGCACGACTGAAGGCCAAAAGTGTTAATACCATCTCGCGACATTTTGAAGTCCTGCGAACAGAGCTTGTAAGTTTGTCACCTGAGGAGCTCACATGGCGTTTCTCAAAGCACCTTCCTGTGGCATCGCTCCGAACTCGCGCCACGTTGATCGCAGCAGTGGTTGATGATCCTTATGGTGGTAATGTTGCAGCTGCACTCCGCCGCTCTCCTGTGCCATTAGCGTCCTCTCTAACTCCGAAATCTGCATCCTCGGCCGTCACGAGTCTTGGCTTCGCCTCTCTCGTCGTGTGGAGCAGCTCAATGCATTCGAAGATAACAACATCAGGGAGTGGCCTACGCACACACTTGAAGCGCGAGAAGTATTGGACCAGTTGTCGAATATGCATCACACCACTCCGCTGAAAGCATTCCATTTAACAGAGAGAATCGCTCCTGCAGAATACAATCGTCACCTGAAAGGCGCGCACACATACAGAGCAAAAATTACGGCCATCAGGGTGCTGGCACCGGCCCCTAAGTACATGGATGGAAATATGCCAATGTACAGTGTAAACGAACGTCGAAGGGGGCCAATGCTTGTACAGGAACTGGACTGACGGAAAGGGAGAGCATGGAGGAGAATTCGAGGAACACTGGCGACTTCGTGAAGAAAGTGCCAACACGTTTAGTGTTGGCACTTTCTTCAGGCACTACCACAGGACATGCAGCGAGGAGACTATGCTGCATTGTTAGAGTCGATGCTCAATCAAGGGATGTATATTTGGCACCCGTTAGGCCATCTTGCTGGGCGCTGCATAGGGATGCCAAATCAAGGGACGTATATTTGGCACCCCTATGCAGCGCCCAGCAATCAAGGGATGTTAGATTAGAAAATTTTATTGAGAGTCTTATGTACAGTTTCTAAAATACTATTATACTAGATGTCCACGGGAGTTCGCGCCTTTTTGGCAAAACGGTTATTACTCCACATCGCACAAACAAACAAAAATAATTATTTGACAGTTCGATAGCGTGACATCGAAAGTACAACGTCTGCTAGTTTCTTTTTCGAAAATTGACGTGTTGAGTCCAGCGGAGAGTTACCGCGCAGAAAAGTGCATTTTCCCTAGAGTTCGCGCACTTCGTCACACTATGTCACACGTCTGCCGCAATGCCTTTTCACGCTCCGCAGAATTCGCACCGTTTAAATGTTGTGAAGTTGTGCATGTGTAAAGCATTTCGGCATTGCGGAGTTTTGATTACACAGTCTCTATGTAACGCTTTGGGCAGATTGTCACGTCTGGGGCTTATTTCTTTATCGCAGATGATCCTGACAAGCATGTGCCCCGAATAAATTTGTTTTAGTATTCTCTAATCATGTATATAACCATCTCACAATATTCCAGAATTATATGTGGAGATCTGACCTTTAGAGTGAGCCTTCTATGCCTCTCGCACTGATAAGTTGCCCATGGAACAAGATCTACTTCGATTTTCTTCAAAAAAAATATATGGGAGTGTGTATTATGTTTGGGCGAATCCAGATCTATCATGGATAAGGATTCTGTGCAGAATTGCGTGTGCTAGAGTCAATGCGCGGACTCTTGGGACACACGGACTCGTGGGACCATCTAGTATGGCATATCAATGATGCCATGACCCTCATGTCCTTCATCTCCGCTCACGATCAAGCCAATCGAATTCAGCAAACTCCCAGAAATCAAACCCTGACCACGCCAACTTAGTCCGCTCTAAGCGTCCGCCCGCGCTCGATGTGCCTGAAGGCACATTGCACACTACCCAAATCATACTGCGACACAGACATACCCCAATACGCTGTCCTCAACTCACCTGTTTGGCAGCCCGATGAACAATTCTAATGATGACATCACGAAGAACGACCGGAGGTAGAAGATCCGGACAGTGCGACATTTTATCCTCCTCGGTCTCGATCGCAGGAAGCCAGAAATGGAGAGTATAATGAGGAGCTGCGGCGCAATTGTGAATTTGAGACGTTATAACGTTCTCCTGTCTCGGTATGTATGCGTTGCCGTGTCTTCCTACATGATAATAAACTTCCAATACATCCACTTAACCCCAGGATAGAATGGCCGCTGTAGCCTGAGAGCGTGACAGTCGGTAGTCCCATTAGACTAGCTAGTAATGTTCTACATAGATTTTATCTCTCAATGGACAAAAGTGGATATGTTCCTGCTCGTCCATCTCATCGTGTTCCAACAAGTATAATGATCGATAAGTCCCGACTGGGTTTGGCCTTCAAGTTCCTGAAAGCGCTAATGTACAAAATCTTTCTTGGAGGTGCTTTCAGATTAAACGACCGCATCTAAAAGGATCATCTTCTATACAGGAGAGCACTCTCTTTCTAGCCACTCAAGAGCGCGCAGGTCGTTACGGAGCAAAGGTCCTACCTTCTCCAGCGTCTCCGCATGATACGAGTTGAGCCACTCCTTTTCCTGCGCGGTCAGAATTGAGAAATCGATCAGCTTCGTTTGGATAGGACACTACTTCAGCGTTAGCTTATCGAGACGCGATTCCTTTCATGCGAAGACGCTCACCATCGTTACATGTTCGAAACAAAGATACCCATTCCCGAAATTATTTGGAGTCTCAGCCTCCCGGACGATAACAACGTTTTCAATGCGGATCCCGTAGCGTCCGTCGGCGTAGTAGCCCGGTTCTGACACGAATGTTGGCTCGTTCCTTGCATTACTCAATCCACTCACCATTCGAAACAGTCATGCCCACTTTCAAGGAGGTGCTGTTGTACGCTGGAGGTGTGGGTGAGCAGGAAGACTAAGAAGTGCAGTACGAAGCAAACCTATGCGGGTGCCAATGCCGTGCGGGCCTTTATAGCATGTCAACATCCTCTGATATCTAAAAGGAGCCTGACTTACCTTCGTGAACATTCAGGAAGTGACCAACACCATGGCCAGTCCCATGTCTATATTCAGGCTTCATGAAAGTATAACAACTCTAAGCGATGAGGAATTACCTGTAATCTGTAAATTCGATTAGGACATTGAAATAAGGCCAAACAACGAATCTCTTACCCCATCCCTCTTGCCATAGAGCTCGTCTTGCAAATGAATCACTGAGGTGAAATCAACATGAACAAATTGGTCTGATGGTGTCAGAAGCAAATTATTCACATAATGTAACCTAAACGACATGTCAGGCTAAGCCAAAGGGAAATGGACTAAACGCACCTGACGTGCCGTTTGGGAAAACAGCAGTGTCGATTGAAATATGACCTTGCAAAACACGCGTGAAAGCTCGTTTCTCCTCATTAGTAGGGGTGCCAAAATGCTGTGAGGAAGACTTGAGATAAAACACTTCTCATCACCACCGGCAAATTTGCTCACCAAGGTCCGAGTCACGTCAGTCGTTCCGTCAAGATATTGTCCTGATGATGGTCTCTTAGAAGATGAATTATTGTAAACAGAAAGACCCACCTCCAGAATCACATAAATATATCTAATATTCTCTGTATGAGCATGGTTCACGTCGATCTGGACAACATACCTGATCCTTCTTGATGATCGCGCAGTCATCCGGGTCCGGTGAATAATGTATCACGGCTGTGTAATGATTAGTATGTGTTTTGTCTCACCTGAGTTTGCGCACCAGCATTAGGTCCAGTGGACGAGATTGTCGTGAACGACAGTCCACGGAACAAGTCCAGCTCACTACTAGGAGGTGAGCTACAGCAATATAAAATTCTTTCCATACTGACGATCTGAATTCTTCGAGCTTATCTGCGGCTTGGCTTTCGTTCAGCTCAACGCCGTTATTAAGTTGTTCCTCCAACCAAGCGAAGTAACGGATTAGGGCAGCGCCATCGCGGATGTGACAATTTCGGAAGCCCTCGATCTCCGTCTCATTCTTTATTGCCTTCATAGTAGCCACTGGTGACGGAATGAGAACGGCATTCTCCTGTATTTAGTCGGGAACACAGTTAGCGATCATCACGAACTATTACGAAGTGCGTACTTGACCGATTGCTTCAACCACAGCTAGACTAGTCTTATCACCCAATAACATGGGCTAAAGCGAACAAAAATCAAAAGTGATTTTACGCATGCATTCGATGACTCACTTTGTCTTTGTTAGCTCCAAGGGTCGCAGTGAGCTGCCTCAAAGAAGGGATGAAAGATTCATATGAACGGATCTCAACATCAGAACCCAAAATCTCCCTGATACTGTGGTGATCCTGAGCGTCATTCATAAAAAGTATTGCCTCCGTTGGGGTCACGACAGCATACGCGAAGAAGACTAGAGAAAGTTTCTTGAGATACTAAATGAGTATGACAATGGTCTGCAAATACCAGGATTGAAATCAATATCTGTGCCACGAAGGTTAAAAAGCCACGCGACTTCGTCGAGAAGCGTAACGACTGCGGCAACAGCTTTCTTCTTCGTGATCTCCTCCCGTAAACGCTGGAGTTTACTCTGAGACGTCTCTCCTGCTCAAAATGTCAGTGTTAACATATACACCGTCATCGTCATGCTGACCGGCGTATTTGACGTCCAAAGGGAAAACACTATTATGAGGACACGGGGGTCGGTCCTTACCCCATACGACATCGACAGGGTTTTGCTGAAGGGATACAAGCACAGATCCCCTAGGTTCAAGAGATTTCTTGAGACTTTCAGCTTCCGCTGCTATCGGTTAGCTCAATAACGAGGAGAAGTGGTAACACCCGTACCAGCTGAAATCAGCGTAGGATCAATGCCAATCCGGGTCCCTTGCTCGAGGTGCTGCCATAGTATTCGATCAGCGTAGGGTCCCAGAAAGACAGAAATGATTGACTTTGAAGAGAAATTCCTGCCATGTGGGCACATCTTCCTCAAGTAAGTCAAAAGACATGAACATGATGAACGAAGTACCATACCTGGCAAGCCCTGTTTCATAAGCTTCCAGTTGCTGAGGACGTCTCTTGTGAGGACGGAATAGAATCAAATGATCAAGACAGTACCTGTCAAGCTGCTGGGAAGCTTGCAGAAAGTATCTCCCATCTGTGAAGAGGAAAGCATCCCTGAGGGTGATAACAGCGCACCCTAAATGACTCTCATATCAGATATCATCAATCCGAGATGATGGCATCTTCTCACCGGCTGAACCGTTGAAACCTGAAATGAACGCCCTACGCTCATCCGAGTGTGCAGGATACTCGCTAAAGTCTTCAGAACAAGGGTGATTCAGCAATACTTCTGCTGGAAATGTTGTGTGTGCCTACGCTGGTCCTCGCTAGGAATAATGAAAGCCTTGACGTTGTTCTCTGGCTTCTTCAGCAACTCTCGAAGCTTCGCTAGCCGCTCGGTAGTGTTGACAGTGCGAGTCTTAATCGCGCCCATGGTCGCTGTTGTACCAGAGGAGAATCGGACAGTATAAGCAAATACGG